TAAATTTCACTATACAGAATAAACAAGAGTGAAAGAAATCGGTAGAATCTAAGAAACCACAAACTTGAAGTGTTCGATTGTGAATGGTAACTGCCAAGAGTTAGTCATGGAATGTGATCCTTAATTGATAAAATATTGGTATTCAATATTGTTGAACCCACCAGTGCTTTACAAAGATAAAATAAGTTTTAGCCAAGGATGCACATATAGGTTTTCCCTGCTAATAGATGTACCCAATACTTGTAGTAAGTTCAGTACATTATACCTTTTTAGCATGAGCCTTTAATAATACATTCCAAAGTTAAATATGTTCATCAACCAATAATTTTTTTAATAGAAAAAGGGTACCTTTAGAGGACCACTTGGGTTCAATTGGAGACTCCTTAATCGTAGGATCAGAGCCAGCAACACAGATTCGTTTATGGACTTCTCTGCATGAAGCAGATACAAATCCGTTCAGAATTTAAAAAATTAACCTCCAATAATGGATATGGATTTATTATTAAACCAAGTGACCATAGCGTAGGACAACAGCAAGAAGAAGAACGGAGTTACTGAAAGACAGAAAAGCTATGTAAAAAATGTTATTCTTATATGCACCTTTATAACAGTATTGAGTAAATATAACTACATCATATGTAAATAGAACTCAAAGAATGCACGAAGTGTGCATATTACAAGCCATACTTTGAAATATTAGTGTCTTCAGTGGTGACCTAATGTTTCTTGTAAAGATAAATTTTGGAACTGAAGAAGAGAATGAATCCTGAAAAATGATTTGCTTACCCGCTGTCAGATATATACCCAACCCAAAGTTGAGCCTGGTCCCATGGCATGTTAGGATGGCACCATTCAATCCATGCCAGTCGTTCACCTTTGGGATCCAAACGCGGGAAAGCATAGAAATCAGTTCCGCCTATTAGTACTTCTGGTTCTGGATGTTACATGATACCCGCATTAGTTAAATAATATCAGATGTACTGCAATACTTTTAGTGTTACACATATACTATGGCATTGGAAAATGAAGCAAGACATGGGTTTTTGACAACCTCTTACCCCAAATGTTCTTGCCATCTAGCCCTACTGTTACAATTGTTGTTGTCGAATTAGTACTGCTTTGACGACGATCTACACAAAATGAGAAATGGGATTGACACATAAATGCCTGACTGACTATATAGAAACGAAAAGCAGAAGAACATGCTTATACTAATGCGCCACATCCACATCCACATCCACATACCTTCCTGGACAGTGACAAACCGGTTAAACCGTGCATCAAACACCCCATCGGCATAACTAACAACTGGGCCACCATAATCTGGAGTGAGTGGCACAGGTGAAGAATCTGGATGGCACCAATATTAACACAAGTCATCATCTTCCAAATTAAACATTAATATAATTTTGCTTGAGAATTCGGAAAACAACAAGAGTATATAAACAATGATATGGAAAACATCATATACCATTGGAACTCAGGGATTGCGTGTAAAGGCGTTGATCCTTGTAATTGGAGAAAATGAGTGTATCGCCAGAAACACTGAAGGCGCCACCTCCGTACTCCTGAGCCAGAGTTCGAACCGCATAGTCCTTGGGCGTAATATCAACCGGTTCACCCTCCGGTCTATCCGGTTCTCTCACCAGAACAGCTCGTCTATGCATACACCAAACAGTTCCTCGTTGGTCAAAATACCAATAAATCCATGAAAAATTACAAGAGTATAGATAGATACCCTGATTCAGAGGGACGAGACTCTAGCCAGATGAGGCGGCCGAGGGAATCGATGGCGGTACCGCCGAGTCGCTTGGAGGCACCGGAGACGACATCGGCGGTGATTTGGGATTTCCAGGAGCCGTAAGGAGCTGAGATTTTCTCTGATTGCTTGGTCTCCGTGGGAGAAGATGAAGAAGACGACATTTGCGGCGGTTGTGGGTGTTAGTTGGGGCTCTGGAGCTGAAGCGTTTACTAATACGATTGAAGGAAGAAGACGAGAAGCGAGTGAGAGTGAGAGTAGCTATGGACGAGACTCTGAGAGCCATTTTGACTCTCTCCAATCTGCGTTTTTATATTTTTAAAATAAGACCGTGTGTTCCAGGAAATCGCACCCCAAGAAAAAAAAACCGTTTTTTAAAGCATATGCACAAAAACACCGTTCGGACGTTTTGGAATGGGCGGGAAACCGCGGGCTTTCAAGATTTGGGCTTCAAACGCTACTATGGCCGGGGTAAGAAAACCGTCGAGCCTCTTATGAGCCCTAAAATAACTTCTATGGCCCGAGATCTCGTTAGTTTTAAGCCCAGAGGTGGTTTACCAGTTTCGTTTGACTTTTAATTCGAAAGAGTTTTGGATCAAATTGGATCAAACTGCAATTATTTTGGTTCACTTCGGTTCGGCCTATTTTAAAATCGTCTATGATATTGATTATTTCAATCTGTTATCAACATTTACAGTTAACTTTCATCTCCCACATTGATATTAACCATTTATTACAAACTAAAATTCTTAAATTTCTACATCCTTCAACTGTAAAATGTTTTCTCTAACTACTTGCTTAACTTCGTATAAGAGGAAACGATGGAGCTGAATCGGTCACTATATAAATTGATTTGATTCAGTTTATACTATTAATTTGAGGCATATACTAAAATAATTTGAACCATAATGTTACATATTTAGCATGCGGATTAAAGTCAAACTCGAAGCAAATCAAACAGTGCTCACCCTATTCCATTTAACTATTTACTAAGTCGATATTTAGCGTTGATTATTTCATAAGTGATCACTATCTTAAAAAGTAAGCAGTACAAAGATAAAATATATGGTGATTTGGGCTGTTGACAGATGTTTTCATCATGTCAGAAACAAGAACTATCTTTGTTGCAATCAACTTATTTTTGTTGTTAAGCCCTCCATAAACAAGCGCCTAACTTGACAACAACTTGTAGATCAATTATTGAGCGATGAGAGAGAGATCTTGACTTCATTGTTTGTGCATGCTTTGTCCACCGCATTGTCTAATCTCTTAACATCAAACACTTAAAGCAAACTTTTCTTCTAAAACTGTGCTTTTATCGAAATAAAGTTGCAAACCAAAACTACATCTTGTGACATACAATTACCAGAAGAGTTAGCGCATCTGACCATCCTATCGTAAGCACAATAATTCTAATGAATGAAATGATAGGTGGATGAGTTTTCAAACAATTATCTAATCTATTTTAGATTTGCAGAAATCACCATCTCCAATTATCAATCATCCAAAATTTGAAGTTATTAATTGATGTATACGCGTGATATATGAAAATGTTGTTTTGTTAGATTGTCGATTAACAAGACAAGTGTAGTTTAACTCTTTATTGAACGTGTGGTTCAGATTCACAGTCTGACAACATAAGTATTTATTTTGACAATAGAGAAATACACTGTATATTCACGCTTCAAATCAATCAAATCTATATTATTGGTTTTTAACACTGTTGTAAGTGGTCATGTGATGGTTTTGGTTGCAACTTTATGTTGCATCAAGGCAAGCTAAACTCTTTTGGCAAATTCATATATGTTCATATGGAACCCACCTTTGCTGCAGGTAACTTGGTCTTGCATCCAAACCCCAAGTGTATGCTTTAAATGACCATAGCTTTTTCTCTCCTCCAACCATACATGTGGTAGATGTTTGCTCAGCTAGTGAGTCATTTCCCAAAAAGAAAATGGCTACAATCATGGAATTAAAACCAATTCTTTTCAATGAGTTTTCAGCACTGAATTTTTAATTTGAACTGTATTATTTCATCATGAATTCTTATCTGATTAAAAAATAAAAAAAGCAGCCAGCAGATGTACGATTAGGTGATTGCCGCATACTGATTAAAGAGTAGCATTGTCCCTTCTCTCTATAATCTTCCTTTCTAATTATGGTTAATACTTGTTACAAGTACTGATTAACAAAAAAATATTATAAGAATAAAAAGGCCTATAACTTTAACACAAAAAAAGGTGCCTATAACACAAGAGATGCTGTTTAATACTTGTCAATGATCATGGTTTCATGGTGATGCGGACAGTACAGACTCTTTATAGCTGATCATGACAAAGGAGCCCCATCTAGGTGCTGGACAATGGCAGTGGCCTCCTACTTGGACTTATTTGCTAGTAAAATTGAATGATTTTAATTTTTGTTTTTGTTGTTTTTGTTGTTTTTGTTGTTTTTGTTCTGGGAACAAACTTATAATTCTGCAACACATAACACTGGCAGCAGTTTGAACTCAAAATGAGCAAGGGATGCCTTGCTGAACACAAAAAAAAAACCAGAAACTAGAAAAAGCACTTTGGATACAAGCCAATTATTTCAATCACCACTAGCTTTTGCTGCCTAACATGGCTTTCTGATAAGACCATCTCTGAGAGGAACTAAAAGGAAACAGAGAAAGAGATAGTCACTAACAAGAGAGGAAGAAAAAAGAAAGAAAGCAAATTCCATGGATAAACAGAAGAACTGTTTGAGGGGAAAGATGAGCTGCACCTCAATAATTATTGAGCACTTAGGAGGGGTTTGGAAAAGCATAAAGCAGCTGATATTGATGCTCTATGAGATGATCAGAGAAGCACATGCCAAACCAACATTGACACAGTCCTTTTTTCATGTATCTTTTTTGGTGGTTTTTTTTTTCTTCCCCCCCTGGCCCTTGCCCACATTCTGTTTGTGGTCCGCCCTCCCTTATCTTATCACATTCAACCCCCTTCCCTTCTCATCACGAAACTTTGTCACATCAATCTTTTAGTACCATTAGGTATCCTTTCTCTCCTAACCAACTTGAAGGAAAAAAATGAAGGGTCTCTATTTCCTTTCCCACTTCAAAGATTCCAACACAAACACACTAAATTTCTACCTTCCCCTCTCTCTATATATATCCCCAATCCGCATACACTTTGAGATACTCTTATCTAACATACCCTTCTTGAATTTCTTGAATTCATACATCAACCAAAATCCTGCAATGCCGTCTGTGCACTCTAGCCCCTTCTACCACATGGAGAACTCGGCTATATTGAATTTTCTCCGGCATAGTCACACCCCGGGCCAAAAACGTTCATCAAAGTCCTCATCCGGAGGCCTCCTCAAGATGTTCAAACTCTTCCCCATGTTGACATCAGGCTGCAAAATGGTGGCCTTGTTGGGAAGACCCCGAAAGCCTTTACTTAAGGACAATGCCACCACAGGTACAATTTTCGGGTATCGAAAAGGCAGGGTAAGCCTGGCCATACAAGAAGACCCTCATTGCATGCCACTCTTTGTGATAGAGCTGCCAATGCACAGTAGTGTGTTCCACAAGGAAATGGCATCGGATATAGTCCGAATCGCGCTGGAGAGCGAGACCAAGACGAACAAGAAGAAGCTGCTGGAGGAGTTCGTTTGGGCTGTGTATTGTAATGGAAGAAAGGTGGGGTATTCGATTCGGAGGAAGCAAATGTCAGAGGATGAGCTTCATGTTATTCAGACTTTGAGGGGTGTTTCAATGGGGGCAGGGGTGCTTCCAAGCCCGTCCGAAAAAGAATATGCATCAGATGGGGAACTGACCTACATAAGGGCAAGGTTTGAGAGGGTTGTTGGATCAAAGGACTCCGAGGCTTTGTACATGATCAATCCAGATGGGGCTGCAGGGCCAGAATTAAGTATTTTCATTGTAAGAGCTCACTAGCCAGCACAAACTTGTTTTCCATTTTCCTTAATCTAGGTTATATTAATGTTATGTAAACGAAGGTTTTCAGATGTTTGAAATCATGGAAATGTTATATCCAATATGCCAAAGCCAGTTTCTTAGGTTCCCTCTCATACCATGAAATTGGATTTTCCCATGCCCAATATAATTTCTGACTTCAGGCCAAAAATTAAGCAAATTAAGGGAAGAATACAAATTGCAATTAGGGCAACAATTAGGAAATAGATTTGATGATGATGAAAATTGTACACAAATCACAGCAGAAAAAAATTGTCTCTAAAATCTCATCAATTATTGGCATCAAGGAATTGTCTTGATTGATGATTCCATGAAAATCTCATATGAAAGAATTATTAACGGGCTGGAAAGTGTTTGGACCACACTAGCTAGCCCGGTTTTGGCTTTTTTATTTTCGGCCGGTTAGGGACCTGCAAAATTAATGTTTTCTGACCCAACTCCCTTTCCAAGATAAAACTAAAGAAAATTGGAAAAGCAAAAAAAATTTCCTCAAATAATCCCATAATCTTATTCGATTAAATCGACACATTGTGGAGTCAACCAGACATTTTACTTGAACAATTAAAATCGTTTATTTTTAAAGTCTTCAATCATGGATCATTTTTGCAATCATTTAAGACATCTAATTGCAATCAACAAAATAGACGTATACGGTACTTTAACAAAACATAAAATTGACAACCATTGATTGAGTGATTAAATGGTTTCGAATTCAAGTCTTTATTTTTTTCTTTTTTCTTTGCAATGATGACTTTTGAAAGAATATCAAAAATATAGATGAATCAGATCGCTAAAATACAATATAGGATGACACCACAAGGTGTCGGAACAAAGGCGTCTTTTTTATTTCTTGAACCTTAAGCCCTATAAGCCCAAAGTGAGTCCTACTGGATTCAACCAGTGCTCCAATCTGACAAGGACAGGAATGGGCTTTGGCATTGCACAACAAAGTACAAACCTACAAACCCTCAAGCTTCCAGAACAGCTTAATTCTCATCTTGTATAGACAGAGAGAGATGGAGGTATATTTTAGTTTGAATATGTTAAATTAAAGATGGTCAAACAGAGTTGTCCAGCAAAACCTGGCCCAAATGAATTTACATAGATTGCAGGCTTTATACTTATTGGATAGAATTGGGGAAGGTTGGTAAAAAAAGCAGAATCTAGTTAGATCTTCTCTTGTCTGAATAGTCTCTGTATTTTAATTTGAGCCAATCTGTCAACAGCTTGCATATTCAGCAAATGCCTATGTGACTTATGTGCATATAAAACGACTTGTAGTCTTGTATTTACTTGTTAGTTTTGATCTCTGAGGGTGTACTGTGGGAAAAAATATCATTACTAGTCATAACCATGCAGACAAATGGCAGGACTTTTCTTTTTCTCTTTCTAGAAGAAGAAGATAAGTATGTGGCTCTACGGGACTCCATGTAGCACAAAAGAGAGTTCGAAGTTTTTCACACAGACAGAGTGTTGTTTTTTTTTTTTTTTTTTTTTTTTTTTAAACAGTAGAGATTCAATTGAAATTATGGCAAAAATCCAGAATACATCAGTAAGAACACAGTCCTAAATAGAGGTTCTTGCAACACATAAACTGTAAAAACATAACCAACTATGCACAAATATTACAAGACATTATATACATCTTGAATCCTAGCTAACATGGAGTTACAGATGAGGAGGACCCAAATCCCTACAACAACGGGTGCTTCAAAAAGATTAAGGCGGAAAACAATCTCGTCAAACATCATGGGACAAGAAACACCTCAAAAGTGGAGGGCATAACTGTTCATCTTCCACCAGAACATTCCAAAGAATATCACAGCATTTCAATACAGATAGATCTACAAGAGATCTGCCACAAAAGCAATAGATCTATCAAGATCTTCCAAAAACCGGCCCTAAAAGGCTGGAACACAAACCCTAGAGCTATAGGGATGACAGAACACCTTGCAAAAGCAAGGATCAGACAAAATCCAACAAAAGTTGGGAGGGAAAACCTCTCCACAACATAACCGCGGAGGGGAGGGAGATGCCCGAATTATTAGCCGAAATGAGTGGTTCTAGGGGCCCAAGGAGATTTTCAGTTTTGGTGTGGTTTTGGGTTGGGAGAATGGAAGAGTCAAGAGAGAGAGAGAAAGAGAGAAAAGTCTTCTTATTATGTTTTTAGTAGTTTAGGAATTCGAGTGTGAGTGTGTTTTGATAAGTGAAATTCATTTAACATGAACAAAATAAGGCCTTCATAGCACCACTTGTCATGTCACTCATAGACTCATGGTCATATAGGAAAAATAATAGTAAGAGGAAAAGATCCATGAACTCCAAGCTAGCATTAAAGAGATTAGTTTCAAACTACGTGTTAATGACCTAAAATGTAAGTTCGGTCAGTTAGTCATAACTTATTAGATTACTTCAAAGTTCAAGTCAAACTAAATTTATATATGTATATAAAATCAATTGGATATATTCCTACGTTTTATAAATGGATATATTGAAAGGATGTTGGAACCAATGAAACGAAAATTAAGCTTAAATACTTAGGGAACAAACCTTTCTTAATAAAATCATGTAGAAGATGAGAGGAAAAACAAACAAGGGGCAAGAAGAAGAAAAACAAGGAGAATATCAACAACTTTCTTAACCAAACTGTTGACCAAGGCGAGAAGGACAAGGTACCAATCATCACGCGGTATTGGGCTAGACCCTATTTGTAGGACCAACACAACCGGCAATTGGGTTGGAAGGGGACACCATGGGACCCACCTGATAGTAACCAGACAACTGGCCCAAATTTCTCTGATCGCAGAAAAATATCTACCAAATAAAAACTTATCTAAATACACGGCCCACCCTGCAGCCTACAACCGACCGTACACAATTTTAACTATTTTCCCTTAACAAATTATTTTTTTATAACCGTAAATGTAAAATTTATAAATGAGTATTGCTCGGAGGGCTACCAAATTTATTCACTGTCTTTTGTTCACCAAATTATGAGAGACATGATTTAACCTTCTTAATTTCTGGATATTCAAAAAATGATAATTTACAAGTGTATCAACAAATTGTTTGGTAAACGAATTTGCCAACGCTAGATTTACTTGAAAAAGGCAATTATACGACGTTAATTAAATAATTAATCAAAGTAATAAGCTCGCTTCTTTACACCAAAGTTCCAAGTCTCCTCCACTCAGGCACACAACTTCAGTTAAAAAAATACAAGCTGACGTAAGAGCCAGTGCCATTAACCCCTTTTCTATTTTAAAACATTAGTACACAGTTCTTTTGGGTTTGAAAATTCCGAAACAAGTCGGTGACTGTGGGGTAAGGATTTGGTGCCAGCTGTAGTATCAACTGCCCAACTGCTTCTTGCCAAAAGTTAATCCATAAATAGTGCCACGTGGGCGGCTAGGATGCAATCATCACAGCGCTTGTGTTCAGATTGCGGGAGCTCTTGCTACCGAGCTGGCGAGCGCGTGGTTCTCAATTTGAAGCCACAATTTGCTATTACTAAATTACACATGTACGTCTGCTATAAAAATACAAAATAAAAAAATAATTAAACATGTACGGTGGTGGGGTGTTGTACGTAGCGTTTTTATGCTCCTCCTATAAAACAATTCCTAAGGGACAAAATCCAATCTTCAAAAACAATTAAAAGATATGATCTACTTGTTCATGAATACCCTTTCATGATTTCATCTTATCTTGGAACAAAATTTAAACTCCAAAAGAGATATTTGTATGTCTTGCCAAATAAATATTTGAATAATTTTTATCATAATTTCATTGGGATGTGGTTGAAAGGGTTTTTCTAGAATATGGTGCATAGCATTGAACCAAAAGTACATTAGATCATACTATTTGAAACACAAAAAGTTTGTCATTTCCAAGTAAATTGAAGCTCACTGTAATAAAGTAGAGTATGGGACAAATTACCCCTCTATAACCAGTGATTTGTATCGTTAAATCGCTAGTGCATCATGGGGTTAGTGTAGATAATTATCTATCACTTTATACTATTGTTATAATATTTAAATGTTCGATTGATGTTCTTGTCAACAAAATACATTAACAAAGCTAAAAAAGAGTAGAAAGTCAAGTAACTAGACAAATTAACAGGTTCATTTTGCTCCCGAAAAAGAAAAATTTATACACTTGCCGTTACATGCAATGCAAGATAAGTATTGCGGGTAAACATATAATGTGATTATTGACTGTTCATTTGATCAACACTTACATCCCACATTTATCCGCAACGCGCATCATGCTCTAAAACAAAATAACTGAAAATATGGGGGTAAAATTTTTCTTCTTCTTCTTTTTATGGGATCAAATAAGGGGGTAAAGTGAGGGTGACGCTCTAGGAAGATGAGTACGGGGAAAGTAGCTTTCGTTTCTTGGATGAGCCTAAAATGTCAAAGGGATTCAACTAGAATCACGTGAGATTCTTACAGCCTGGGAGTGGGGCCTTCCTACGTGGAAGACGTTGAAGTCATCCTCACACAGCTTTAAAACTCTATTTTTAAATTTCAAGGAGGCCCTTCTTTTTATCAGGGTTTTGCTTTTTGAGACGGTCGATCAGGAGCCGTTGATTTCAGTGACCCAAGGCTATAGGGCAGGGACTTACAGCTGTAATTGGGTAGAGTGTGTGGCTAAAGTGGTCAAAAAGGGGATGGGCCCACTTGCCAATTTTAAACGTTTAGTGTTGTGTGTTAAACAGCTCTGCAATTCCTGTCATGTGTTAAACGCTCCCTAATTTATAAGTCCCCTCCCTCTTGTCCCCAGTACGAGAATGATTTAATTACTTTTTTTCCTCCTCCCTGCCCCTTGAGATTTCTTTGGCTCCTCCTATATAGTGATTTACCCTTTTTGCCCCTCTCCAATTGCAAGCAATGCCTCAATTTCTTTGTAACTTAAACTATATGCCCTACCCTTAACACATATTGTTGTTCTTAACCGTCATGATTCATTATGAAAACAACACTAGGAAAAAAGTCAACATATCCCAATCAAACATGGTTGATATTAAGTAACTCAATTCCATTCTAATTATGTTTGACAACGATTTATTAGGTTAAATATCTAGGTCTATATTTAACTATGAGCATATTTTAAATCATTTACGTTTTAGAAGATAGATCGAACTTGAACAAATATGAGTGGACTCTAACCAATAACCATAAGTGCAAGTAAGACTATTGAAAACATAAGAAAAATGTTTCTAAGGTGAAACGAGAAAAAAGTTGTGCTAAGTAGTCATATCACGCAGTAGTATTCCAGAAGTTAAAGAAAAACCACTAATTCTTACCACATAGTATATTTTAATAGGATTATTTTTTGACACTATAACGTGATATAAACAATCTGTCACAAATTTACACTAAGAAAGACATGACAACTCATCTAATCTAAATATGTTGGAGGAAGGGCAAAATGGTCAATAGGGCAAAACCCAGAAGGTCGATACGAGGCAACAATTAGACCGGGACAAACTTGTTCACAGAAAGAGAAAATAAAATCGAAAAAATTGTGAGAACAAGGGGTGCGCATCTACGCGCACTCAGTTCTAGTTAGTTGTACCCTTACCCACTTTACAAAAGCCAGTTTCGTGGAAGTACCCTTTCTCTCTAAACTCCTCTAAATAAAGGCTCAAAACCATCGGATTGGGCATCCAATCAAAACAGCAAATGCATGCACCTCTTCCCATATATAACTCAACACCCAAACCCATCCTTCCTCTCATTCTCTCCTTAACTTCCTCTCTCTCTGGCATTTTCACAAACATCACTCACTCATCTCACTCACCTCACAAAACCAACCAACACTGTTTCAATGGAAGCAATGAACAGGTGCTCGTCTTCCACTTCGTCTTCCGACACTTCCTCTTCAGAGTCTTCTCTTCCCAGAAATCCCAACAAGCCGGAACGCATCAAGGGTCCTTGGAGCGCTGAAGAGGACCGGGTCTTGACCCGGCTCGTCGAGCGCTACGGGCCTAGAAACTGGTCCTTGATAAGCCGGTACATAAAGGGTCGGTCGGGTAAGTCATGCAGGCTCAGATGGTGCAATCAGCTGAGCCCGAACGTCGAGCACCGACCCTTTTCGCAGGCTGAGGACGAGACCATTTTGGCTGCCCATGCCCGATTCGGGAACCGGTGGGCTACCATTGCCCGGTTGCTCCCGGGTCGAACCGACAACGCCGTGAAAAACCACTGGAACTCGACGTTGAAGAGAAGGGTAAGAGGAGAACATCACCATCATCACCATCATCACCAAATAGACGGCGTTAATTTTGTTGGCGGTGGCGGCAATGTAGCTAATAACGAAGGGATGAGCACGAGTTCGGTTTCTGGATCTTTGGTTAATGGGTCGGTGGAGTTTGACCCGTTGACCGAGTTGACTTTGGCGCCGCCGGGGATTAGCGGGGCCACTATGGTGTCGGTGCAGCAAAGGAGTGAGAGTTTGCCGTCGGGGTTTTGGGATACCATGAGGGATGTTATAGCTAGGGAGGTTCGAGATTACGTGGCAACAACATTTTCTGAGCCTTCGGGGCTTCGTTGATTATTAATCAACGTTCTTAATTTCTATTTATGTCCTGTTGATATGTGGTTTTCAATTAGTTCTCGTAAGGCAAATGTAAGATTTTTCGAGTGCCTATAAACTAAGAAACTTTGCAATGGGTTTGTAGCAGTTAACGGCCGTTATCGCCGCACCTGATGTCTTGTGTTCGAATCATTCTCTCATGTTGTTTGTACAAAGTTTTTCAAGTTGGGGAAATTCTACTTTAAACTGAGCGTTACAGCCTGTCACCAACGAACAAGTGGAAGTTATAGTATGGAATTTGATGAGATTCGAAAAGACAAAAAAAAAGGGGAGGATGTTTAAGCTGTTAAGTATTTAATTAGTGGGCTTAGTTGGATGCTTATTTTCCCAAGTTTTGCTTTTGGCCAAATATAAAATTCTCTCCAATACTTGCTTGCTTGCTTTCTTTTCTGAATTTGTGAGGGTGCAAATTAAAACTGGGGGCTATAACTAAATTATTGTGACTGGAAGTACTTTGGATTCTGGATCCCAGCTGCCCAGAGAATATAATTATATCCATATTTGGCATATCCATTTTAAAACGGAAGCACAATTGGGATAAGAGCGTATAATTATATGTACTACCAACAAAAGAAAACGACATAACTATTTAACCGAAAAAAGAGAACATATTATGTTGCTCAACACTAGCCTGGCTAAAATTTAGTTACATCTTTAAAAAAGTTGTGTGTAAGGGCGTGTAGCTCAAATGTTTAAAAGCCGTTACATATGTACTCGAGATCTTGTTTTCAAATCCCCCTCCACCAATATCAATTGTATAAGAAAAAAGAAGTTGGGTTATGAAATTTGTATGGATTTTGATTTAACTCAGGTCCTTACAAAAGCGGACTATTGTTTTTGCTTTTTCTTCAATAACCTATTGCTATGCATTTAGTCTAGAATCAGAGGGCGATTCGTCCCCATGTATCTGAATAAAAACAAGTTCAAAGTCTGATTGAAAGCAATTTAAAAGGCCACCACTGACTTGTATCTCTCTTCATGGAAAACGAGACTTTTGGAATCACTTTTCTGCCACTGGAGGAAAAAGCGTACGACATAGCGGCACCTTGTTTTGGCGTGGTTGGAAGCCAATGTCACTCAAACTCAAAGTTGTGCCCCACTTCTACAGAAGCACATTTGGATTTGTGTAATTGATTCATTATCATGCATGTTTTAAATATGCCAAAACCCCGTCGTAGAAAATTGGAAATCATAATTTGCGACCTGTGACCACGACAAATATGCTGGGTTGTCAAAGGCCCATAGACCAATTATAGCCCTAGCCAAATCTTGGGTTTTCAGTATAATATAGCCCAGTCCTATGTATACTTTAATGCTGGAGTAAGGCCCAACACAGGAGAAGAACTTTCGTGCAATGGGACCGTGCACGGTCATGGTAAGCCAGTCATGCACTGTTATGTGAGAAAGTTCTTCCAACACATACAGCAGAGGCATCTCCGATTAATCAAGTGCATGCTTGTGTTTTATGACTAGTTAATTTGAGTTACAAATTCATACAAGAATCAACAAGATACATAAACTGTAAACATCATAGATTGAGCCTTTTCCTTTATATTTATGAAGCCTACTCTTATTTTTTTGGTTTAATTTCTGGAATTAATGTAAAAGAAAGTTCAAACAAAATAATCTTTATTGTGAACATGAAAATCAAGAAACAGAGACAAATTATTCAAACACTTTTTCCCCACTATAACTTGTACAGTGTAACACGGGAAATCAAGAAGGAAACCCTTCACCCTTATTTTCAATCGTAACCCTCCAGAATTATTCAACTGCATAATCAATCTGGTGTGAGTGTATATGTGTGTGTATATATATAGCCCCAAAAGAGAGCAGTTTGGAAAAATAGTGCGATTAATTCCAACGTGGCAGTGGGACCGCAAACAGCTTCATGAGCCCATCCTTGCAGTTCTTGCCATCCTTCCCACCACTGGCAAAGTAAGATGGCCTCCACTCAGTCAGCTCAGCCTTGAAGCCCTCACCAGTTCCCTGCGTCTCACTTGCCAACAGCTTGGCTTTGCTGAAATCGCACTTTATGTAGCTCCACAGGTTTGGGAGCTGGTACACGCTGTAACCAGAGTCGTTCTCATACTTGAACACTGCAAAATCAGATCACATAAAACAAAGTTTGAATAATTTCACATGCATTATATGATTTCATGCACGTACTAGGGTCGGGAGGGTTTAGAACAGTTACTCATGCCTCCGAGGTCCTGTATTCGAATCCTCTTTCTCCTAATATTATTTCGTTTGTATAAATTTAAAAATAAAACACGGGGTTGCTTACCCAATTGGTCCTTTATGTAGAAGGGGCTGTTTTGGAAAGCCCAATCGGTGTAGTTGAAGCCATAACGCCAGCCTTCAGAGCCTCCAACGACGAGGGTTCTGGCCTCGCTCGCTGCCAGTAGAGAGGCAGCAGCTAGAAGCAGAAGGAACCCTCGTGCATTATAACTCAAAGCCATGCTAGCTGTTTGTATCTCAAAGTATATCGCTCCTTCAATAATGTGCTAAGATACTGAAAACTTGAATATGGGAAGGAGATGAGAAAGCATGAGGGCTCATGGGGTTTATATAGGGCAAAAAAATGTGACCAGAATTGCCTCTTTGTCTTGGTTGGTGAAAATGTGAGGCCTTGGTAATGACTGAATTGCCATACTTCAAATTTTGCAGCTGGATTGTAATTTGTGTGAGGGCATGACCAGGAAAAGGGAGGGTAAAAGGGTAAACTTATCGGCTGACTAATTGTTCTGGTCGTCGTGAATTTGGTCATTATCCACTTAGAACAAGAATTTGATGCAGTTGATATGATTAGTAGCGCATTAGCAGTTTAAAAAGTCAGCCAAGGCAACGGAAGGTAATTGTGGGTTCGTTAACACACGAAACGGTCAACCGCCGGCATTTTTACTTTATTTTGAAATTGTCTCAGTTTGCAGGCTCATGGAAAATTATATCGGCAATGCGCTTCACCCAAAGTTTGACATACTTTTTGGAAAATTTTTGGGTTTGATTTTTATGTGTGTTTGGAAATAACTTGGTGATTGCATTGTGCGAAAGCTTGGTGAGTTACCATTTTCAAGATGAAGGTGGAGTTTGTTTGGTTACTGAGAAAATTTGGGAAAAGGGGGGGAAATAATAAGTTTTGAACATTTATCTGGGAAGCCCATGATGACAAACGGGCTCAATGGGCTGCCTAGTTCTAGCTCAATGGAATTAAAAGTCATAGCCCAACCTTAACTTTAACCATGAGTCATTCTATAGTGAGGGCATTATCCAACGACTAACCAATTTGATTCAACAGCTAACCAATTTGCCTTAATCATTGATCGCCGTGTTGTTTGAAGATCTTGATTTCAAAGCATTGCAATAAAAAGAAGGCAAATTTTAGATTTAAAAACAGAGAAATCATCACATGAAACCTGAAATTGAAGAAAAGAAGGTATCTTTAAGAGGTGAACGTGTTACACTGAGAGCACAATAACTCCAGCAGCTAGCAGATGACAGATTGTTGACTGAATTGGTAGGAAATGACCAAAAACTGAAAAAGGACCAGTACCCATCATTATCAACCCTGAAAAAGAATATGATTTTGTTGCTTCTGCAATCATAATTGAACCAGTTATACAACTCACCTTCATTGGGTCCACACACACTTTCATTAATGCTCATAGCTGGTGGGTTGATTTTGAAGCTGTGAGCAATGTTGTTTGCTTGCAATTGAATCTAAAAAAAAGTACGGTAAAACAGCTGCCAGACAGCAGTTTCTAGCTAAAATAATCTACTTTTTTTCTTTTCAACTAAACAAAAAACTGGGAGTGGCAATTCAAAATTCAAAGAGAAGTCTCAAAAATGCATTTCAGTCTGGAAAGTCAATGATACCAACATCACAAATGTAAAAAAAATGAACAAACAAAACACAACTGATAGAGGAGTTTTCAACTGCTACCATATCCAAAAAAAACCCAACAGCTAGAACATCAAAGATTTGCAGGTTGTGGGGTTTGAGGAGATTGCTCTTCTTGCTGAAGCTCAGATCCTTGATGGGTTTGGGCTGGAGTTGAAGTTGAAACAGAGGAGCAAGACACATTAGGCCTGGAAAGTGGTGGGTTGATTCTTCCATCAATGCAAGATGAGCATTTTGTCTCTGCCCAGCTCTCCAAATCATAATGGCCATATCCCATTATGCTCCTCCCAGAGCAGAGCCTCCCAATTACAACAGCAACCACACCCAAGATTATGACCACAACAAGAACAGCAACCACTGCACCAATGGAGCCATGGGGTGAGTGAGGGTTTGCATTTTGCTGCAGCACAAAGTCTGGTGGAGGTTGCTGATCTAATGGCATTGACATTTTAACAAAGACCCAGAAGAGGGAAGAAGACTGTTTTTTGCTCTTGGAGCCTTGAAATGTTCCCCAAATGCTGCAAAGTTTGGAGCTTTTTGAGTTACTCAAGACCTCAGTATGCGCTTTAGGCTATGTAGCCAATTCTAGCCAATGCATGGTTTGCTTTTGCAACTTGGTTCTTGAAAGCCTAGATTTATTCACTTGTTTGGGAGAAAAGGCCAGAACTAGAGTTATTCTCTTATGTAGTAGACTAACTAGAGGGAGAGAGAGATTGTAAATTTGTAAGATTCTGTTGAAACCTTAGATATTATGAACATTCTCCATCAGCTGATTTTTTAACCCAAAAGTAAAGGCCTCAGGAATCTTTTTTTTATTTTTATTTTTATTTTTTTAATTAGGGGAACCCCAGAGGCAGTAAAAAGACAAAAGCAAAGTAAAAAGTAATCGGTAAAGTTGGAATCTTGGAAGTGTTGAGTACTTTCCAAGAGACCCATTTCGAAAAAACGTCCTTGAGCTTTTTCAGTTCCTTTTTCTGTCACCCTAAGGAAGAATTCATGCTATAAAACTATAATCTCAGAAAACCAACAATTTCAAATATTTTCTTTCAATAGAAAAATTATTACACATAATTTGGAAAAGGGTTTCGTATTTTCAAAGCCTGCATGAGTTTAATAAATCTGTTATGTAAATCCACAATAACATCTATATTATTAATTTCATCAAATCAAATCTATTGACAACAAACAAAGTATACCAACGTAAATTAGGCTAGTTAACCAAGATGTACATGCCCGTTTTCTTACAACCAAGTGCGACATCCCTCCCGTATCGTAACTTAGAATATTATAAATAAAAAACCACTTTAGTATCTTGGAAATTCCAAAACCATTCTTTTGCATTTTCAAATTAATATTCTCTCAGAGGTTGACAGTCAAATTGTATATGAACCTCTAGCGCTCTACGACGCAGGTATTATGGGATGGAACCCTGACAATACCTGAGCCAATTTCCCAATCCCCATTATCGTTTAAAAGTCACATAGATCAACGGTCCATGTTGCTCCTCCCTCTATATAAAATTCAATAAATTTACAACAGGTGGAATTCCAACTCCCACCTCTCTCTCTCTCAAAAGAAAAATTGAGAGGGAAATCAATCAGATGATGCCATGGCTGCCAATCATGACATAATCTGGTCCTCAAATCCTGCATCGTATCGACATGGTTTTTCGGGTGGTGTAACCGTCGGGTGATGTTTCTATTATTTTTTTCTCTTATGAAACTCTCATTTGATGCCGTGATTAACTTACATGTTATAATATAAGTGAATAATGAACGTGACGGAGATAAAAAGAAAACAAAAGCGAGATGGCAGCTTAGCTAATTGAAGGTGGGGCTTAAACTTGGGCCTCAATTGCTTGAATGCTACTTGTGATTTAATTGGTTGGGCCAGGCTAATTTGTTGTTAGTTTGGTGTCTTTGGGCCTTGGGTTCCTTGTGACAATGAAATAAGCGTGCGATTAAAAAAGTTGACCAATCGCTGTCAAGAATCCCTTTCCTCCGACGGCTACATCGAGAATGTTAATTAGTTAAGGAAAAGATGAAGCCAGCCAACCACATTCCATTTATCGTGTGAGATTATTAACCACAAATCAACATCGGTGGTTTTTAATTAAATCCGCCTTGGTGCCTATGAACAGATGAAGATAAGATTTTAACCAGCCCACAGACTTCGACTGCCGATGGTGACGTACACAGGGTGACGTGGTTGCAGAATTATTCAGGGGCCTTGATTTGATTGGTATTTCCACGGTGAGAACCTGAAGCGTGCCCATTTTGTAATATTGCTCCATAAGCAATATCCGACCGAGGCCCTGGTTGTGTGTATATTTAATGTGTGATAAAAACAACTTTGTCTGCATTATTTCCATTTGCTTCTTCTTCTTGGCCCATCTTCCTACTGGGACTTGAAGCTGAGCTCAAGCGGTGAGTGAAGATGAATGATGGGGGAGGCTCAAGTGGACGCTCAGCAAGTGGAGGCAGATCTAGCCAGACCCCGGCTAGCGCGAGGGCACCTGTGCCACCTCGAGGAGCTGTGATGAAGAAGATTGTTTCTGACATGCTTAAACCTTTTGCCGCTTCTTCCTCCTAATCATGATCAAGCATTGCAGATTATCATGTATCTTCATGTGCTGCTCTGCTCTGCAAATATTTCTAAACTCTAGCATTATGTGAAATAAACCCCAATGTAATCCCCTTATTATCATCCTGTGGAGAGCAGGTGAGGGGGGAATGCTTGATTAGGGTTGGAATTTCCGAATTTATGTAGTTAGTGTCAGTAATTAACGTTCATGACTTGTTTGTTTGGAAACTATTGGAGTTTGTGTGTGGTAATATTAAGTCCAAGGTTGTTTGCCAATGACAATCTTCTTGATTGGGTTGGAACTCTTTTTGAATTTTGATGGTGTGATTCTGATGGTGTTGATTACATTCATCAATAGCTGAGAATGCTCAGTGTCCACACACGACCGTGGGTCGAAATCTAAATGAAGTAAGTAAATGGCTTAACTGTCATAAATTATGTTTGGTTCCTGAGAAATTTTTTTCGCCAATTTGCCCCCCGACGTCAAAATCTGCAATTTTCCATTCATTATACTGTCAAGTTGGTGTTTTGGTGGAGACGCAAAATGAGAAAAGTAACCTCTAACTTGACGGCTGGATGGATGGGAAGTGGTATATTTTGACGTCCGGGGAAAATTGGTAAAAAAAATTAGTTTGAATCCTTGATTTTCTATTAAAAAAAAGATAAGGGATAACTTAAGTACAAGTTTAGGGACAAATCACCAATTAACCTTAAGTAAATAGATAAATACAGTAGCTGCCTGCATAGTGGGCCTAAAACATACCTGAGAGAAAATGGGGCTGATGAGTAAGCTTAATGCCAGACCCAAAAAAAAAGTTGGGTTTCCAATTGGACCACAGACTATTTTGGGCATGCCCAACTAAGCGTAAGAAATATTTAATTCCCAAACATTGTCTGCAATTTCCACTATGAAGTTAGGGAGGCATGATGAAATCATGAAAGTAGCCAGCCACCATCTTCCTAACCGTTGCCCAACGGATTTCATCCCCGGCAACCAAATTCAAATATCTGAAAAGCAAAAGAAGAAAAGCAAAAGCCACATTCACACACACACCCACCTTTTTCCTCAATTTTCACAAATAAAATAGTACCACCACTATATAAATTTGGTCACTCCTATGTTCCACATTAATTTCCTAGCCTCATTTTAATCAAATTCTAGCAAATGGGTTCTTGCATTAGCAAATGCAGGCCCAGAAGACACATGATAGATGAACTCAATCATGTCCAAGACAAGCTGGTAATCTCACAAGCTCCATCTAGATTAGCTGCTCCTCCAATTTCTGCTTCAAACAAAATCTCCCCCTCTCCTCCATCCCCTTCCAATTCCACTTCCTCTGCTTCTTCCTTCACTTGCACCACCAACACAAGCACTTCCCACACCAGCAGCTCACTGACCTCAACCCTGTCAAGTGCTTCTTCAGTCTTGAGTTCGAAAATCGATCGGTCTTTCTCCAACGAGTTCTTGTGGTCATGTTACAAGGAAAACCCACATGTAGTTCGGATTAATTCACTCAAAGAAGCAAGCTTTTCCTCATCATCACTGCCACAGAAGCCGCTTTTGCCAGCAGCAGTGAAGAAGAAGCAGCCAAACCTGAAAAACGCAAATGCGTCTGTTACACCTCAGAAGAGAGTGAGGTCAAGTTCACCAACCCCATTAACAAGACAAAAGAGCTTCCGAAAAGAGCCAGAGAGGCCGCCTATGATCTCTGCATATTCTCACCCAAGTAGAATCTTGAGGTCACCTTCTCCAAGCAGAAGGTTCAACATGGCAAACCCACCAAAAGAATCAAGCCATTCAAAGCCTAACGCGTTGAATCTCAGGCCTGCAGCAAGTTCAAATTACAGCAATTCAAGCCGGCTGCTTAGACCTTATTTGAGGAGCAGAGAAACAGAGACGCGCATTCACAGGATCAGCTCCAAAATTGATGAGGTTGCAGTTGGAGAAGCTCTAGCTGACAATATGGACTCTCTTCCAGCTGAGGACATTGACAACCCCTTAATCTCTCTCGATTGTTTTATCTTCCTCTAGTAGATTAATATTGTGAGTGTGTGTGGTCGTGCATATATATATTTGAAAAGGTTGTGAATTCATTCATTTATATGATCTGCTGGATCAAATTAATTCATTTCAACTTCTGTAAATTTATTTGGTTTGCCTTTTTTTTTTCTTTTAAATTTTTTGTATCGTTACCCGATTGTTTGTTTTGATGAAAATTACGAGAAGTGTTCGATGTGTTTATTGTTCAGGAAATTCGTATGAATGCATAAATAATATAAGAGAACTATGTAAACATGTAAACGAGCTGTATCCAACCGACCAAAAAAAAAAAAAAAAAAAAAAAAAAAAAAAAAAAAAAACGGGCTTGACTTCTTTAGAATTTTGGGCTTTGATGGTTTATTTATATGGGCTAAACAACAAGAAAGAAAGTTTTATTCACGAAAAAAATAAAAAAACAAGGAAACCTTTGGACTTAGCTATGACAAAGGCTCATTATTGAGGCAGATTTTGAGCCTAGCTAGATTGTTGCTCAAAGAGCTGTATACAATTGGCCAAAGAATACTCTCTCCGGTAGAAAATGACATTGATTTACATATCAGAGGTTTCAGGTTCAAATTCCAAATATTATAAGAGTAATGATTTCCCCACTTCAATTTTATCTACTTACATTTCTTTTTAAGTTATAAAATGGAGTGTAAGTGGATAAAATTGGAGTGAGAAAATCACCACTCTATTATAATTGTGTGTATGAGAAATCTTCATTTCCTGGAGTTTAGACTATCGCTTGTATTAATTATAAAAAAAAACTCTTCTCTCTCTCTCGTTTTTGTTATTGGGTTTGCTTTTTTTATTTGTTGGTTTTAAATACATATATTTACAAGTCATAGATTGCACACAAGAAAACAGCCAACAGGCTACCCACATAAAGTGATGCACTAATTTAGTTTTTGCAGTCCAACTTACAATAATAAGAATTGTTTAATAATCGTATTACACAGGATGAAGTGAGGAGTTTGACTCTGAATGTATTAGTGCTTAATCGAAAAGTTGAAACAAATTAAAACCTCATCGTTGATGTTGGATCAGAATCTTCTCCCTAAATTGTCTCGCAAATTCCCTCAACCCCTAATTTTGGAGACTCTGTTTAGCCGAAAACGAAGGCCACGTAGGCCATGCACATCATGGATTTTGATTTTGTGTCCCTAAAATTGGAACATGACGGATGGCTTCATGTGCACCAGTCTTGGTTAATTTTGATACAAATCGACGTTTATAATTAGATATCCCTGTCGGCAGGAAACCCTAGATTCTTCAAAACTGTAGGGAAAAAAGAGTGGCGCCTCACTAAGATTAGCTAGCCTAACTACCCCATCTCATGTTGATATATATGTTGGAAAATTTATTAATTTTCTGTTATGAAAATTAAATTCGACAAGATGTGATTTTCAAGTTTGAAACAATGAGTCTCTTAAATAAAGAGACACATTACATGCATTTTCAGATTAAGTCACATACTGTAGAAATGATTTATAAATAAAGAAGTTCATTACATCATTTGAATTAAGAGATATTTAGTAATATACCCATTCTTAGCACTAAAACTATAAATAAACCCTACATCATTTCATTTTCATAAACATACCCAAAAAAAACCCAAAAAATGACAAATGGTACTATTAAATTTAATTTTAATTATTAAATTACTTTGATACCTTATTGAGTGTTTTGGGCTTTTTTATGAAATTTTGGGTTGGGTTTGTTTTAAGAAATCAATGGCAATTTTGTAATTTAAAAGAAGTTAAAAGCCTTTTTGTTATGTTATAAATGGGCTTTGGGTGTGTTTATAAATTCCATTTCATATAGGGTTTTTTTTATAATTTGGGCTCCTATATTGGGTATATTAGTGAATCTCCCTTGAATTAATCCCATTTGCAAGTCTTTGTCAATTTAATAGTGTCTCATATTGAGAGAGTTCAAACACAAGTCTGTGTCGTTCTTCTTCTGGTTTGGAGGTCATTGTATTCTGGGAGACGTTAGTCATTGGAACTTGAAGCACCAATGAGGGGCAATTTTGTCTTAAGGAGATAGAAGCAAGTTCTAGACTCAACCATATTCTGTTTTTTCAAAAACTTCTTTTATATTGTTTGAGTTATTTTATGCATTTAAATTGGTATTTATTTGTATGGACTAAATTCTGATTTTCTTTTAATATATAGCAATTTAAATCTCATTATTTTCCAACAATATATATATATATATCTCCGGATTGTATTTCACTAATCCAAACCATCTATTTTGTAGATATTTATTCAAAGATCATCTCTATAAAAAAATCACTTGAATTTGATATCATTTGACCACTCAATTAAATTATTAAAATGGTATTAATTTCTTAAAGTACCGTGTTCATTGATTTTATAGGACACAATTAGATGTCTAAATGGTTTTTGATTTGTCAAATTTTTTGCAAGGATAATCTATGAATGAGAACCTAAAAATAGATAGTTTGGATCGTTGGAAAAAATTTATAGGGTATCCTAAAGGCGTTCATCAAATAAAATTATTTGAAGAATCCTTCAATAGAAAGGAAATATATATATATATAATGTGCAACTTTAGGATTGTTCATAGGGACATGATGTAACATTTTCAACCTTGAATTATTCAATGGGTACGTTGTGTGTGATATCAGTTCCCTTTTAGGAGGAAAAAATGGGGAAATTTAGGATTGGTGTATATGAGCCAAATTACTTTATCAAGTAAAACGTTATATGTTTGAAAACGACCCCATATATCATTATTTTGAGAGAGAGAGAGAGAGAGAGAGAGAGAGAGAGAGAGAGAGAGAGAGAGAGAGAGAAATTTAGGATTGGTGTATATGAGCCAAATTACTTTATCAAGTAAAACGTTATATGTTTGAAAATGACCCCATATCATTATTTTGAGAGAGAGAGAGAGAGAGAGAGATACTCTATAACTCTATATGATAGTATATATATGCCTATAAATGAAGTGCTGCTATTTTCATCCCATTGCTCTATTTTTTTACCTATCTTATCTTCTCACTCACCATATAAATTTAAAAAAACACAATCCTATTTTTTAACCCACCTTTATTTTAAAATCCCTTTCATTATTAATTCAACCAAAACCCATAAATCAAGCAAAAAATTAAAAAAAATAACCCAAACAAACCCAACAACCTCTTCCTATTCTTCTTCTTCAATCATAATACCAAAAAAGTCCCGAAAGACACCATTTAGTCCCAAGTCCCTACAACATGCCCTTGCTTTCTTTGAAAGCATGCTAGCCTTCAACCCCTTGCCAATTCAAAACCCAATAACCCTTTGAGTAAGTCAACTTAAAACCAGGGACAGACTCAGGATTTCAAAATGGGGTGGGCTAGATTTTAGGTCCGGCTAAACTTTATAGGGAGGCTTATGGAATTAATCATAATATTATATAAATTTAATTGAAGGACATATCATTTTTATTTTATTTATTTAAAAAGTCCAATTTTACACCAACAATGTCAGCAACAATTGATTATATATGCTTAAAATTAACATTAGTTGACAACTCACAACTCATATTGCGACTTATTTAATATATGTGTTTTATACTAACAATAACAAAAGAAAAACACTTGACTGGGCTATAGCCTAGTTTGTACACACTGCAGGTCTGTCCCTGCCTAAAACCATACCAAATAACAAACAAACGAAAAATAAAGAATCAATTCATTCATAGGGGTAGCTGTCGAGAGGAGGGAGGAGAGAAATAAGGAGAAAAAAGGAGGAGGTGGAGGGTGCATGGGGAAGATAAGACAGCTAGTAGGGTGGGTTTTTCTTGGCTGTTGAAGAGAGAGAGAGAGAGAGAGAGAGAGAGAGAGAGAGAGAGAGAGGAAGAGAGAAAAGAAGGAGAGATGAGGTGGGGTTTGGATGTGTGGTTGGGTGGTGGGGTGGTCGGGGTTTCTTTGGGATGAGGGAGAAGGAGGTCTTAGAAGTCATTTTATAAAGGGGTAAATTTGTCTTTAAAATTTTGAAGATAAGGTAGGTGGGGAAATAGGACAAGGAGTGGAAATAGTAACACTCATGCAAACGGTAGTGATTATATTATAACAAGATTAAGATTTAAGTAAATTACTTTTGCTATCGATATTAATTCAAGGTACGTAAGAGTTCATGCGAAATGAATTAGCGGTGGAAAGTTATGTTGAGAGAAGAAAGGGGGATAGGGAGATAATAAAATATATTGCCGTTGGTTTGTTCTACTACTTAGAACCACCTAAACAAAAATTGAAAAGTGTAGCATCTAAATTAAAAAATTATTATTATTATTTATTTGGAGTATAAGCATGCAGTGATCTCCCTCCCTCCCCGCTAAGCTAATAACAAAGATGAATGCATACTGCATGCGTTGCATTGCTCTCATTTGTTCCAACAATAAAACGCAGCACACCGAATGCGTTGCATTGCTATCACTATAACTATGATCTTCACAGATAGGGTCGAAGCTAATTAATTAAGAATTAATCCATCCAGGAAATAATATAATATTTTAACATGTCTACGTGGCACTTACTAGATAGATAGCTTATTTTTATATGGTCCAAAGGACACCTAACATAATAAGCCAAATAAATATTCTTCAATCTATTCTTAAATAATACATACCAATTTAAAAATAAGCTATGTTCATGTTTTTCTTCATATACAAATGAAGCTATTCTTCAATCTCTTCAATATCCGGGCCTTATAATTTCTTCAACTCATCTTCATAAAGTTGTTATTTGTCTTGTCTAGGGAATCCAGTTGGGATCAATACTAAAACTTTAATCAATTCCTATCTGTTTTTTCCGTAGCGTCAACCTACCGACTACAGTTACACTTTTTATTGTATTAAGGGGCGAATAAGTTGGTTAGCTAAAGTTATTAGCTAAAAATTTCATTATCATTAATTTATGTACTTATAGTTTTTATAGTCTTTCTAGAAATTAAAGACCTCGATATTAAGGAGATGGAGAATCGAACCTAGGACCTTTTGTGCAATTGTAAATTGTCTTAACTACTGGAGCTAGCCCTCACAATTTCCAATAAATTTTAACATAAAACAAATACATATTAAATGCAACCAAAAATCACATATTGTCAAAATGAAAATGTGTTAAAAAACATAAGTGAAAGTTTACCTATTTTAGCCAATGTAACAAAAACAAAAAAAGTTTACATATTTTAATGTGTATTTTTATTATTGTCTTTTAATAGGTTAATACATACTGAGCTATGTTTAAAATAAGACAAATATGTATCTTTGATTTATTTTTAATCCCCAAAACCTCCCTAGGCTACATCCCAATGTAGCCTTTGTCATAGTTCCGCCAGTGATCTTATGATCTTATTGTTGAAGAATATAAGTCCCACATCGGAAACTTGACTAAATAAAATACAAAATATAATGAATTGTTCTACTACTAATAATACCGATGCCTTTTGTGATAAAACCCCACACCTACTGGGCTTTGTATGTGGTTAAGTTGGGGGGCACACGTGGAGCCAAGTCCACATCGGAGTCAACTATTCAAGCCCAACACGTGAACACCACATATTGGGTAAGGGTAAACATTCAAGTCCAACATGTGAACACCACATGTTGGGTAAATGGTAATGGCTCAATTCAAGCATAGTCAATCAACCAGCTCTAATACCATGTTAAATTTCAGATAGACGGGTCATTGGCACACTACTAGCAACACCGATATTGTCTTCAACTTAACCACCTACAAAGCTCAATAGGTGTAGGGTTTTATCACAAAAGGTCTCAGTGTTATTAGAAGTGAGACCACTTATTATAAATTGTAGTTTATTTAGTTAAGTTTTCGATATAGGACTTAAATTCTTTAATAGTAATGACTATCTAAATTTGTAACATTTTTGTTTGTAATTTTAATTTTTGGAAAATACAATTTAAAAAAATCAAATTGTGTCCTAATTTTATTATAGGGTAAACTTGAAATTGTAAAGTTGCAGAAGAAAAAGGTGTTCATTAGGTAGATAAATGAGGGGGTTAATGAGTTGTAGAACCACAAAGGTTAGCCTTTATCTATCTTTTTTTTCCCCCAGTGTGTGGGAGGCCCGAACGGACGAACCAAAACAATTTAGAAAAACGTAACATATCAACCATTCCGAACCAGACCCACAATAGAATGTGTTCGCGCTAAATCTGAACAGATAAGAGTTTAGGCTAAATTACAAGTGTGCTGATGGTTGAGGATTGGAGTGACATTCTTCCGTGATGTCCGAAGATTTGAGCAGGGGCTGGATCCGAACTGAGGAGGGGATATTGGTGTGGTACCTGCCGAAGGCACTCCGATGCCAAATTTAGTAACTAAGAGCGATTATATTGACAATGGAAGCACTTAGTCCAGTCAGAAAAGTCTTACCACTTGGCTGGGCCAAGGGCCTCTATTTATAGAGAGCATTTGTGATGCTCTTAGCACTTAGTTTCGATGTGGGACTCGTGGGAGTGTCTTCGGAGATTGACACGTGCTCTAACAGGTTCTGGCAGAAGTTCTGAGGTAATCTGACAGAATTGGATTGACATGATGGTTGGTCGCTCGGCAGACCATGCCGAAGGTTAGCGAAGGGACTGATGGTGCGTAATCGACCCCCTGAATCGGTACAGTGTGCCAAAAGAACATTCGGTATGGCCCGGTTGAGCTGGTCTCGGCTTTGAGGGTGTTCCACGTGTCACGACGTGAGTGGGCGGCCAGACATGGTACAAACAGTAGTCCCCCAAGTTTCCGATCGAGGAGAGACTTCTTGGTTGGGGACTTGCTTGTCCCTGAGCTCCGGCATTTTGACCCGGGAACAAGCGTCTGTCGTTTATATGCCGGTGATGTTCATGTAGTCCCCCAAGTCCCCTAGCCAAGAGGTTGGTTTGAAGAGTGGAAGGGAGCGGCAGGAAGAGGTTGGTTTGTCGAATGTGGTTGAACGGTACGGAAAGCATGAGTCAAGAGGGAAAAAAAAACGCGACCCATGCGTGCCTGCCGTTCGACACGAGAGGTGAGTGAAAACTCGACCATGCGTGCCTGCCGTTCGGCACGAGATGTGAGTGAAAATTCGACCCGTGCGTGCCTGCCGTTCGGCGCGAGAGGTGAGTGAAAACTCGACCCATGCGTGCCTGCCGTTCGGCGCGAGAGGTGAGTGAAAACTTGACCCGATAGGCGTGAGAGGTGAGTGAAAACTCGACCCGTGCGTGCCTGCCGTTCGACACGAGAGGTGAGTGAAAACTCGACCCGTGCGTGCCTGCCGTTCGGCATGAGAGGTGAGTGAAAACTAAACCGTGTGTGCCTGCCATTCGACACGAGAGGTGAGTGAAAACTCGACCGTGCGTGCCTGCTGTTCGGCACGAGAGTTGAGTGAAAACTCGACCCGTGCGTGCCTGCCGTTCGGCACGAGAGGTGAGTGAAAACTCGACCCATGCGTGCCTGCCGTATGCTGGGAAAGGTGTGCTCTGTCTCAAAAAGGAGAAGAAAGGAAAAGTCGAAACGTTCGAAGTGTAGGAGCAAGTAGGGAGGTGAGGGCGGTTGGGCTCCCCTGTGCATGGGTGACACGTGTCGGCAAGGCTGCGAAGACTTGTGACGTTTCGGTTCCCGATGCTAGGCTTGTCCTATAAATTGAAGGAAAAAGCGGTAAGATGAGGTACTTGAGGTTCTGAGAGCAAACGGAGCTTGTGAGAGGCGATTTCCGGCGAGTGCATTGCGGTGTTATAGGCGATTTTCGGCAAGTGTTTGCGAAGGCAGAGCGATTTTCGGCGACTTCCACCACCGTGCAAAACAAGGTATGGTAATGTTTTCCCGCCCAGCATGAATCAAATGCTTGTATATTTGCATGAACACGTATGAACACGTAAGAACATAGATGATCGTGATGAACATTAGCTCTTGGGCTCTAGGATAAGGGTTTGATTCAAGCATGTCATTTAGTTTTGCTTTGCTTTTGTTTGTAGATGTCAGACACCGAATCAGACTATAGTCGTAGCCCAAGAGCGTTTGATGGAGAATCGGCATCGGAGAGCTCGACCGCAGGGCTTGATAGTGCCGATTTCAAGAAGACCAAGGGAGGAGAATTGCCGGAGGTGTCTACCGATACGGGGAGCACTTCGAGTGTGGAAGTAGTGGGGGCTGACGACGCCCACCCATCGACATCTAATCATCGAATGGGATAGGCCGAGGTCGATGTGTCGGTTGCCGATCCTAGGAAAGGCGTGCTGACGGTGGTCACCGGCCGACAAAGGATACCGATGGCGAAGCCAAAGGACCTTGTGTTCGGGGTGGACCACTTAGAGCCGAACGTCTTGATCGAGGCGGAGGTGGCGAAAATCCGGGCCTTGTACAACATTCCGGAATTGGTAAAGATGCGGATCCCAGGGCTGTTGGAATCGCTGAGCAATCCAAAGGGGGAGATGGTCTTCTTCACGGATGTCTTCAAGCATGGGCTTAGGTTGCCGCTGAGACATTCGGTACAGAAGATCCTGGCAGCGATCGGCTACGCCCCTGGGCAGTTTAATCCAAATTTTTGGATTACACTATTGGGGACGGTCACGGCCTTCGGCATAGCTGGTGAGGGGGAGCCGAGCTATGAGCAATTCGCCCATCTGTACAGTGTGACGAGGGCGAAGAGCGCCGATCAAGGGGGTGGGTGCAGTCGAACTGTCTGTCGGCGAGGCAGAGGGGGCACTTCGTAGACGGGGTGCCGATCTCGCAGAAGACCTGGCGTCAGCATCGGGTGTTGGTGTCCGGAGCTTGGGAATCGGCGCCAGGAGTGATTGTGGAGAGACATATCCCCACTTCCTTCCAGATAGTCAGTAGGCCCATGGGGTGCCGTTCTGTAGCAATATCGTCTTTTTATTATGTTTTTATTTTTTATAATACCGAAGCTAACTAGAGGTTGTATTTTTGTGTTTCAGTGTCCTTGAAACGGCCGATCGCTACGAAGAGGGAGATAGAAGTGATCGAGCGCGTTCGGTCAAGAATAGCTGAGGAGGGTCGTGTGCACAAGGCTCTGCTAGACTACAAGAACATGTTCAAAGCGGGTCTAATCAACGAGCCTGGTACCTCCGAAGGAAGGAGGAAGAAGAGGAAGAGAGGCAAAGTAAGTAATGTCGTTCGACTTTTCATTGTTTCATTTTATTGTGGCGTATGCTGAATCTGCCCTAACTCCTCTTTGTTTGTGCAGTGGCAGGAGGGAGGGCAATGTCCGAAGAGACGAGGAGGAGGCTCGAGTCACGGGCCCCTCAGAAGAAGAAAACCGGTTCCTTGAAGCCGAAGACGAAGCAGCCCCGCCAGGCTGAGGGTGCGTCAGCACAGGAAGGCACGCCGGGCGATCGGCGGCAAGAGAGAAGGGTGGCGGAGGCCGAGCTGATCCGGGAGGCCCATCTCCAGGTTACCGAAAAAAGGGTGATCGAGGGTGCCCTCGATGTGACCCTTCTACCGAAGAGGCCAAGGGGGCCGAACGAGGAAGCAGCCTTCCTCGTGTCGGACGAGGAGGATGCCGAGGCGGAGCCGGTGAACATCGCCTGCCCCCAGAAGGTGGTACCGTTCGTGAACTGCTTCATCGACGGTGTTTAGATAGAGCTCCCGGAGCTGGAGCAGCTGCTAAAGAAGTCGGTGCTCGAACAGGCCGGACGTGCCTTCCGCCTTTAAGCTGCCGTAAGTGTGCTTACCTTAGTTTTGTCCAAGAGTTGAGGTGATGGGAAAGTGCTAATGTTTGTGTTGTTTTGCAGGCTAACATGGAGATGTCGCTCGGCGTGAAGCGGGCTATCAACGCGGCCGAGCGAGTCCAGAAGAAGTACGAGGAGGGCCGAGCCAAAATTGCCGAGGCTGGGAAGCTACTCCAGGATGCGGATCGGCATGCGGAGGAGAACGCTGCCAAGATAACTGAGCTATCCTCCAGGTTGGCGGAGGCCGAAAGGGCGGCAGTGGATGCCGAAGAGGCGAGGGCGAGGGCAGAGGCGGCGAAGGAGGCCGAGCTTCAGTCTCGGGCGACGGAGTTGGAGGAGGCCAAGAAACAGGCAATAGTTGAGTACCGAAACTCGCCGGAGTTCGTGGAATTGCTGGACAAAGAGGTGATGGAGCAATGCGAGGATCTCATCTACCGGTTCAAGCGCTTCAATGCCGATAAAAAACTGAACCTGAACTTCGTCCGGGATCCGCCGCCGTTACCCGATAGGGTAACCGAGGAGATGGTCGAGGCGTACCTCGGGGAGGATGCCGAAGTCGATTCCTCGAGCGGCTCAGAATCAGACAGTGAGGAGGAAGAATCGACTCCCCCTGCGGAGCCGTTGAGTGCCTGAGAGGATGAGGGGCCGGCACCGCCTGCTTCTGCTACCGAGGCCGATCCCCCAACTCCTTGACTGCTGCCATTCTTGTCTTTTTTTTTGTTGTAATATATAAAATTAGTGTTTGGATATTGAGGCCGTTCGGCCAATTTTGTAAAGACAATTGCCCAGCTTGAGGCTTTAATCATATCCAAGTCTAATTTGAATAAGCTTTGGTGTTTATCCTGTTGCCGAATATAAACATGTATGCCTTACTGTGTAAAAATAGGAAAACGATAATGTTGTTGAAAGAAAAATTGTACAAAAGTGTAGTGGCCGAAGGTCCAATCACTTGTGATAGAATTTTAAATGTTCGACATTCCAAGGGTGGCCGAGGGTTTGACAGTCGGAGCCACGTAATCGGTATTTGCCGGGTCAGCAGATGCTGACAATTTCATAGGGTCCTTCCCATGAGGGGCCGAGAGTGCCTTCAGTAGGATTTCTCGTTGCTAGAGACACTTTACGCATAACCCAGTCCCCTATCTTGAACGATCAGTGTTTTACGTGCGAGTCGTAATACCGAGCCGTTCGTTGTTTGTAGGTAGCATTCTGGAGCTGTGCTTGCGATCGGTGTTCGTCAATGAGATCCAGATTGAGGGCGAGCTGCTGTTCATTCTTTTGAGGGTTGTAAGATGGCGTTCGGCATGTGGGCGCATGTACTTCTACTGGTACGACAGCTTCGGTACCGAAGGCTAGGGAGAACGGTGTCTCACCAGTTGACCTTCGGTAGGAGGTATTGATGGCCCATAGTGCTTCTGGTAGTATGGCAGGCCAATTGCCCTTGGCGGCTCCCAGCTTCTTCTTCAATGTTTTCTTGATGATCTTGTTGATGGCTTCTACCTGCCCATTGGATTGTGGATGTGCCGGAGATGCAAAGAAGATGCTGATGTTGAATCGGGAGCGGAGATGCCGAAACCGTGAGTAGTCGAATTGCTTGCCGTTGTCCGTTACGATGACGTTTGGTAGGCCGAATCGGCATAGGATGTTCTTCCATACAAAGTGTTCGATCTTAGCTGCCGTTATTGTTGTGAGGGCTTCAACCTCAGTCCATTTGGTGAAGTAATCGACGACTACAACTGCTAATTTAAGCTGACCCGTGCCTTGCGGCATTGGGCCAATGAGATCGAGTCCCCATTGGGCGAATGGCCACGGGCTAGTCATCGGACTGAGTGGTTCGGCAGGGACTTTCGATACAGATTCGAACTGAGGAGGGGATATCGGTGTGGTACCTGCCGAAGGCACTCCGATGCCAAAGTTAGTAACTAAGAGCGATTCTATTGACAGTGGAAGCACTTAGTCCAGTCAGAAAAGTCTTACCACTTGGCTGGGCCAATGGGCTCTATTTATAAAGAGCATTTGTGATGCTCTTAGCACTTAGTTTCGATGTGGGACTCGTGGGAGTGTCTTCGGAGATCGACACGTGCTCTGACAGGTTCTAGCAGAAGTTCTGAGGTAATCTGACAGAATTGGATTGACGTGATGGTTGGTCGCTCGGCAAACCATGCCGAAGGTTAGCGAAGGGACTGATGATGCGTAATCGACCCCCTGAATCGGTACAGTGTGCCGAAAGAACATTCGGTATGACCCGGTTGAGCTGGTCTCTGCTTTGAGGGTGTTCCACGTGTCACGACGTGAGTGGGCGGTCAGACATGGTACAAACAGAATGAGATTTTAAAGTATAAAGTCTATGGAACTAAAAGTGTGAATATGAGAAATTTTCTTCAATGACCAAACGCAACATAAATGTATTTTAGTTATTTCATTTTACATGAATTGTATGTAGTTTTCAAATATATTGTATATATCCAGTGTCTTTGGTCTTTATAGGCTTTTTATACCTACTATTGCATGATTTTCCAAATCGAGAAGTTAATTAATATATATTTTTTTAAAACTATTCCTTTATTTCCTTTTTCCTAATTTAGCCTTATTATACACATCAAAGTTTATTTAGGAAAAAAAAACATTCTATACGGATCTCTTAAAAAGAACCATTTTATATTGATGGATTTGGGGGTCGGCATATATCCAAAAGGGGTAGTTACTAATTAATGAAATTTTATTTGGAAAGAATACTATGGAAAGAAATCCAAATTTCTTTATAAAAAAAAATGTTCTATCTCCAAGTACACTCCTCACTTGTGGCCAAGAGGGTGAGACTTGCCGATGTATGGAATTTATTTCTTGTGTTTGGAAGATGGAGAAAATTAGCATACATAGTATGTAGACTCGAGTCATAAAAATAAGTTGATATTCAAAGAATACTATTTGCCTCCTTACCGGTAAAGACATGCTCCTCAATTATGCGAATTATAGTTTGACACATATACAAAAATAATTCATAAAAACACATAAAATAAAAACTTATGCACACATGTCATACTGCTATTGACAGGAATATAAGAGCTTATACTTATCTGGTAAGAAGGGAAGTATTTTTCATATTCAAATTTTTGGGGAGAAAATATTAAATTCATATTTGTATGGAAATTTATCCAAATCTTTCCTTTTAAATCATTTTATCCAAATATACTTTCTACACATACCGAAAAAGAATTTATATGATTTTGAATCAAAATATCACACTTATCGTCGCAACACACAAAGAAAAACTAGGTATTACTTGTACAAATTTACTTTTGGCTTCTTATAAATAAATAAAAAGTTTTAAATAATATGCGTGGATATTTGTTTAGAAAGCACGTGCCAGATCCCTATATAAATCCCTACCTTGGCCTCTTGTCAATTGGCAGTGTCCGTCTCTAAGCCAAAAAAGAAAATTGTCCTCGTCAACAATACCAATATGGATTCAAGTGCCTCTGTTGTCTTGTCCTCTCCATGCGCAAAGCTTCCAAACCTTGAAGGAAACCATGGCAATATCGAAAAGGGAGGCGTTGCTCCTTTTATTGACTCAGCTTTCCTTCAAAAACAATCTCAAGTGCCCACTGGTTTCGTTTGGCCTGAGGCAGACTTGGTTTCTGCTCATCAAGAGCTCAATGAACCACTGGTGGATCTTGAGGGTTTCTTCAAGGGTGATGTTGTGGCAACTGAGAATGCTGCCAAGGCCATTAGGTCATCTTGCGTGAGCCATGGCTTTTTCCAAGTGACCAACCATGGGGTCGATCTAAATCTTATCAAACTCGCTGATGATCATTTGGATAAATTCTTCAAGCTTCCTGTAGAGGAGAAAGCAAAGGTAAAGAGGTGCCCTGGTAGCCCTTATGGCTATTCGGGTTCCCATGCTGATCGATTTTCAGCCAAATTGCCATGGAAGGAAACTCTGTCTTTCGCTTTCCATCAAGGTCCAAACCCAGTTGTGGCTGATTTTTGCAAATCCAAACTAGGCAAAGATTTCGAAGAAACTGGGTAAGACACATGAGTAATGTTACATGTATCACATATTATTAATATTAATTACGTCTAGAAAAGTGGTTGGTGTACGTAGTCTAAACGTTTTGTTATTTTCTTTTTTTTCCTATACAGTTTAAATTAATGGGTTTATTAATATATTTTTGAGTGTTAACACACAAGCACTAATTAAAATACACACATACATGATGAGGACTACTCTTAATTTGTTTCTTAATTATTATTTTTTTAGGAGGGTCTACCAAAAGTATTGTGAAGCAATGCACAATTTGGCTCTTTCAATTACGGAGCTCCTGGCAATTAGTTTGAAAGTGGATCGAATGCATTACAGAGAGTTCTTTGAAGATGCTCACTCTATCCTAAGGTGCAACTTCTATCCAACTTGCCAAGAGCCAAGTCTTTCTCTTGGAACGGGACCTCATTGTGATCCAATATCCCTCACCATTCTTTACCAAGACCAGGTTAGAGGGCTTGATGTGTTTGTCAACAACATATGGCAGACGGTTCGACCTATTCAAGGTGCCCTAGTCATCAACATTGGCGATACCTTCTCGGTACGTAGAATATACGCTTTTTAATTAATTAAGCTTAGAATAATTAATCTTTTATCACATGAAAGTCTATGGTTGAACTTGAATTGAACCATAGATTCATCATTATTTTATATATACAAGTGATATTTGGGGAGGGGGATTCGAACACATGATCTCAATTGTGCAGAGGTAACTGTTCTTAACCACTTGAGCTACAAATCCCTTGCAACCATAGATTCATCATTAACCAAAAAATAAAATGAAAAACATGTAGATCCAGCTAAAAGGGAAAACGAAGTGGGATTTCCATTAATGCTGTAGGTTATGACTTATGAGATATCAATAATTAGGAAATCTTCATGTAAAAGATATGACGTACGGCCTAGCTAGGTATTGTTAACAAGAAAGGACACCACAATACTGGCTAGGTTTAGCTGCTAGATGATAAGAAAGAACTCTAGATAGCTAGCCAAGTGGCCGGCCGACCCCATTTTATGAAGAAATTAAAAATAACATTATTTTGCCTTGAAGCTGGTGGTGAGATTAGCCAATCTCCTCCTATTTTTTCACGTTAAAAAAAAAAAACCGTATTTTTCAGTCTCAATGTATGATATGACAGACAAGTTATGAGATCAGTACTCAAAGCCATTGGAAAAATGATGAGTATGTGGAGATTACTTAAGAATGTAATACCAATAGTTGCGACGCACAAGTTGCTATGCATGTAAAATAGTTTAATTAACCAATAATTAATTATATCATTAGTGTTAATTATAATTACTAATCTAGGTTGGCATGATTTTTTCTTATTATTATTATTATGTGCAGGCATTAACGAATGGCATGTACAAGAGTTGCTTGCACAGGGCCGTCGTGAACAGCCAGAAGGAGAGGAGGTCAATGGCATTCTTTCTGTGCCCAAAAGATGACAAGGTTGTGAAGCCCCCAGAGGATCTTCTGCGCATTGAGGGGATGACAAGAAAGTTCCCGGATTTCACATGGTCAGATTTTCTCCGATTCACTCAATATAACTACAGGCCTGACGAAACTACCCTCCAAAAGTTCAGCAACTGGCTCCTTTCTGCTGATAATAACAAACATCTCTAGGAGGAGCTCTTGCTATAGCTACTACTAGCTAGCATGGAGATGGAGATGGAGTGCACCGCAGTTGGTTCTCTAAGCTTTTTTATTTTTATTTTCTAATATTCTATTGCAGTTCTTGAGGGCTTGAGCCACATATTTATCAAATCCTAGAAGTTAAAACTTAAAAAAAGATGATTTTTTTTTAATTTTTTTTGAAGTGTTACCAATTAATGAGCTATAGCTCTAGTTGGCTGAATCTGAATGTTTCTTGACTGGACATGTCCTGTTGTTTTTATATTTATATAAATGATCAGTATACAGTTTATTACTTGATACAATATGCAGATCTTAGTTATCAGTGGGGATGCTAATTTTTATTTTTAATAATGTGTCCTAGCTCCTTGCAAATATCTCATCGTCACTCATGAATTATTTAACTAAATAGGATTTGAAAGGAAAACGATGGCACCCATGTACCTCTATTTACATCTATATTTATCAATCATCATTTTAAATCCTTGGGGAGTGCATAAGAGTCGCACGCATGTTTCCCAACTAGCTCTTAATTCGATAGCATTTATCTTTTGAATGTTGAAAAAAAAGTCTCAAGCTCGAATTCCGCGCTAGAAACGATAATTATCCAGCTACGCCATCATTTTACAAGAAATTATTAAGTGGGCCAATCAACTGTATATTTGCCTTCACTCTCACATGTTTGAAACTTTTTCAACTATAAACATGTTCTCAGGATGTCCTTTAGCAGTGAGGATGCCAATAAAAAACCAAAGACTTTACCTTGTTTTTTAAGGTACGTAGCACCGTTCTCTAAGTCCAAAGTTCCTTGTTTTATGTTCTCCGGGATTTAGTGAAACTTGAGAACCCACTCGTACATTTACTGGGACATGCTTAGGACAAGCTTCACAAGAAAATTAAAAACCCGATACACGAGGGCTGTCCTTGCATTTCTTTGCAGTATGGGACAGCCAAAATGGACGTGCCAAAGCTATGGACAACCAAACTCCCTCTGTTTTTTTCTCAACTCGGATGATGGTCTTCAGCCACGGACAAAGTAACCACATTTGTTTGGGATATCGAAAAGAGATAATAATGGCTGCAGAGGTGGGTCAACTTGGTTAGATCTCAGGTTGCTCTGCCTCTATCCAGTTTTGCAATGAGATTCTTTGTTTGTGTCCTATGTATTTAGCTGTGTGCATATAGTAAATTCTTACCATCATGCTTCTCTTTTAAAACAATGATCCGTCGTCATATAATCTCGTCAGATATATATTTATGTTACTAGATTGTGAATATAAATCACGCAATAAATAATATAAAATTAGAGTTTATCTTAAATGAATAATTGTGTAGATATTTAGGATTTAGATGACTCATTCAGAAGTAGGTGATTAAAGACACCGCTCTGAAAAATAAAAGAAAAGAGACAAAAATAGAACATCTCCATGTGTGGTTATCTTGTGAATTAATAAAGCGCCGCTGGAGAGATATTTCAGGCTTTGATAAGCTCGTGTAGTTTTGTCAATTGCTTTGTGGGAATTACAAGAGCCATCGTTGTTATTATTCTGGCCTTATATGGGGTTGGTCCAATTGTAGGAGGACACAAACAATTTATATTATTTCCATCGCTATCATTGGAATTCAAGCTCAACAGCCAAATTAAATTTGGACCCTGTCGAAAATTCAAGCTCATTGGGTTTTAATCTAATTTTCTATCGTAATTAATTATAAGAAGAAAACCCCTTGAAAGCAACTTGAACCGGAAATGGTGCGCAATGGATAAGTATATGTACAATTAAACGCAAATTATTTTAATTAATAAATTTTTTTAACGATTTTTATTTTTTTTATTTTTCACACACACTATACGGATACTTTGAGTAGGACTCAAATCCAAGACCTTTCCTGAAAGATCGAGTGCTCTAAACTACTACACTAGTGGGTACTTTACAATAACCGCAAATTATGGATTGAAGAATAGGGCAATTTGAGTAATGTCAATAATTTGACGTTTATGTCCTTTATGTAGCTGGAAGTTGTTTAGAGGCCACTAAACAGTGGATTTTGGTTCTGGAAAAATGTCTTGCATGATTGCGTTGATGTCTTCGGTTATCATATCAATCAAGCTTTATCAGCAGGTTGGACAAAACTTGGGACCCTCGGTAACACATTGGCCTGCATAGAATTAAAGCCGTTGCAGGGAGTTTTTCTTGGTTTTACATTTAATTGCTCATAATATACTAGTCAGTATGCGTTATTATCAAAAACATGAATTTTTAAGCAAATAAATAATTCATGTACTATACACGTACATACATATTTTTCCTAAATAATACACATTTCTCAAATATTTTGTAATGACTCATATTGTTCGTGTATTTATTATTGAAAAATAAACTACAAATAGATCATTTAAATATTAATATATATATATATATATACTTGCCGAATGTATATACATACATATTATACCAGTCCGCTACTTTATTAACTATGTCATATACTCATATCAGGACTTGGAGTTTTCAGTTCTGGTTAACTCTAGCTAGTAATGAAGTATAATACTGGAATTGAGAAAAAAAAATTAAAAAAATTCACACAATTTGTAACAAGAAGTGATGAAAACCTTACGAATGACTCATACTGACATCCCAGAAAACATTTGACTGTAATTTCCCGAGAATATTTTTTACGTTTGAATAGCTCATTAAATTGCTTGTTGGAATGAACTTTCCTTAGAATTTAGAAATGTAGGAAACATTTGTTTCCCAAATTCTCATAACCAGGAGCAGATCGTTGATATGGTCAGGTCAGGCATCTCATATTCTTATTAACTTCCAACCAAACAATCTGTCTATACAAGGACATAAAAAAAAATTTATAGTCAAGAATTAACTGGCTTAATTTATATTCAGCAAAGACCAAAGCAGAAGCTCAAAAACATGGTTTTGGATACAAAGCTTGTAAAAACTGTGCTAATATATGGGTAATGTAACGGCAGCAGCCACAACAAGATCATCAGAAGCAGAACTTTCCCCAAAGCCGTAAGGTCAGATTGCCAATATAAATGCGGGGATGTTAGCACCCCATACACCCCTTTGGCATAGTGAGAGGGGACGGCTGTTACTTGAACAATTATTTCCTCATTACTTATACCACAAGTTACGTACACACCTCCCAAATTTCTAATCAGATCAAATGTTGAAGTCCAGACACGAGCGTATCTTTGGATGGCCAATTATGCATCCGCACATTCGTGGCGGTGGATTGTTACAACCAAAATGGCAAAAGCCTATTAAACCAAATTAACCATTTCACCGTTTCCATTCTCTCTTGCTTTTCTTCTGCTTACTTGATTATTCTTTTTTTTCGATGCATTGTATATAGTTATTTCAAATACATTGTACATATCCAAATTAATGGGTTAGTTCTCCAAATTTGAACAACGAGGGCATTTTAGTAATAAACTTGGTTTCAATTCCAATTTATGTGAATTTAGTAAACAACTTATAAGGAAGTAGTACCACTTATACCCCAACTCCATATAGTTTAATAAACAACTTCAATAGGAATCTAGATTCTAACTCTCCTCAATCCAACTCATCTTCAATAATTCAATTCATCCTCAATTCAATTCCTTACTAATTCGATTACAGATTAGTAAATATGTCATTAAATCATTTTATCTAAATATGCTTGGCACATACCCAAAAAGAACAATTACTACTAAAAATTGATATTTCCCTTGATGAAGAGCTGTCTTCCCAGACCCAGATGAATTGTATATAAATTCCCTACGTACCTTTGCCTATTCTATCAATTGTTCGTGTCTCTCTCGGATGGTTCTCGTTTTATTGACTCAACTTACCTGCAAAAACAATCCCATGTGCCTTCTAATTTCAAATGGCCTGACGAGGACGCGGTTTCTGCTAAACAAGAGCTGAATGCGCCAGTGGTGGATCTTGAGGGTTTCTTCAAGGGTGATGTTGTGGCAACTGAGAATGCTGCCAAGCTCATTAGGTCATCTTGCTTGAGCCATGGATTTTTCCAAGTGACCAACCATAAGGTCGATGCAGATCTCATCCAACTCGCTTATGATCATGTGGATCATTTTTTCAATCTTCCCATCGAGGAGAAAATAAAGGTACATAGGTGTCCTGGTAGCCCTTATGGCTATTCGGGTGCCCATATGGATTGATTTGCGTCCAATTTGCCATGGAAGGAAACTTTTTCGTTTGCTTTCTAGGACGGTCTAGACCCAATTGTGGCCAATTACTTCGAATTTACCATAGGCAAAGATTTCAAAGAAACAGGATACGTAAGATACATGTGAGTAAAGTAATGTTATATGTACATACGTATCACATATTATTATAGTTACGTCATAAATTTCTAGACTACATACTCTTAATTAATTTTCTTGTTAATTAATTAATTAATTAATTACTTTTTGGGGTTTCTTTTTGTACGCACTGTAGGTTGGTATATCAAAAGCATAGTGAAGCAATGCACGGTTTGGCTCTTTCAATTATGGAACTGTTGGCAATCGGGTTGGGAGTGGATCGGATGCTCTACATAGAGTTCTTTGAAGATGCTGTCTCTATCATGAGAGGCAACTGATATCCAACTTGCCCAAATCTTTCTCTTGGAACGGGACCTCATTGTGATCCTAATGCCCTCACCATTCTTCACCAAGACCTGGTTGGAGGCCTTGATGTGTTTGTCGACAACAAATGGCACAAGGTTCGGCCTATTCCTGGTGCTCTAGTCATCAACATTGGCGATGTCTTCGCGGTACGTAACGTATATCCTAACCCTAACCCTCTTTTAATTAATTTAATTTATTCAAAAAGTAATTAAACTTAATAGAGTAATTCATCTTAAGTTTATTATCATGGATCAAGTTGCTACATATGTATGTACAAATGCATGGTTGTACTTATTAAATAGTTTAATGAACTAATAATTAATTATCATTAGTGTTAATTATGAGTGTTAATTAATCTTGCATGTGTTATCGAATGGGATATACAGGAGTTGCTTACAGAGAAGTTGTGAACAGCCACAAGGAGGGGAGGTCTTTGGTCTTCTTTATGTGCCCAAGACCTGACAAGTTGGTGAAGCCCGCAGAGGAACTTGTGCGCAGAAGCAAGGGCGCCACAAGAAAGTTTCCGGATTTCACATGGTATTCACTCAAAATCATTGCAGGATTAATGAAATTACTCTCGAAAACTTCACCGACTGTTTCCTTTCTTCTGATCATTCCAATTCCAAATCCACCAATTAATTGATATTATGAGGAGGTCCAGCTAGCTATATATACCATGGAGATGGAGTTCTCTAAATTATTTTTATTTTCTAAACTCTATTGCGAGTCCTTGTGGGTGTGACCCACGTTAATAAAATCCTAGAAGTTCAAATTTCTAAAAAGGATTTTTGTTGTTTGGAAGTGTTATTAGTAAAGCTAGCTAGTTATATGAACTTGGTTCGAATTTACACACAGACGGTGAACCTCTAAAGACAACTAAGTAGGTGTTTCTATTTACACACACATATATATCATCATTTTAATTTGCTCATTTTAAATTCTTCAAGCGTGCATAAGAGTTGCACTCATCTTTGCCAACTAGCTCTTAATCTAATATATCTCTTTAGAATGTTGAAAAAAGTTTGAGTTCGAACTCCTCATGAGGAACGATATAATTATCAGCTACACCATCATATATATCACAATAAATTAGTAAGTGCGCCAAGCAACTGTATATTTGCCTTCACTCTCACATTTTCGAAATTTTTTCAATTGAACATATGTTCTCGATTTTTTCTTCAGAAGTGAGAGGGTGAAGAAAAAAAATGCTACAACACCAATAAAAAACCAGACTGTTACCTTGTTTTTTAAGGTAGCCCCATTCTCTAAGTCCAAAGTTTATATGTTTTCGGGAGATATGGGAATTCACTGGTACATTTATTGGGACACGTTAAGGACAAACTTCGCACACAAAAAAAGGGAAAGAAAAAGAAAAAGAAAACTTGACATACGAGGGCCAGCCACCGATCAGCTTCTTGAGGAGAAAATTTTACATGTAACCAGTGGTCCTGGCCCCCTATATTTTTATCCCTCTATTATATTATATATAATTTATATAATTTATAATAACAACTTAGAATTTAAGTTAAATTTCCTCTAAACAAATAAGACATGAGTCAATTAGAAATGTTTAGCTCTAAACATGTAATATTTATTGAATATTTAGGTGTTTTATGTACTTGTATTTTGTACTTCGGTCCCCTCAACTTTACAATTCTAGCTTCGCCTCTGCATGTAACAGGAATATAGTATCCCAAATCTATCACGCAGTACCATATCAGAAAGTTAAAATATATGGCAATTGGTATCCCCATCCCCAGTATAAGTAAGAGTTTAAATATAGAACGGTTCAATAGCATGTATTTGGCTTTATAAAGTCTGTCTAATTATGAGATTTCAAAATAGGACATTCATTAAAAAAAAATTAAAATAAAGATAAAATAAAAACTTAGTACCTTCCACCTTTGGCAAAGTAGCAAAGTATACGTGATTGCTAATTGCTATCATTACTCTATTAGGTGAAGGTGATTGGCAAAACAAAGAAAAGCTAATTTGCCACTAAAATGACTTCCATGCCTTTCTTCTATAACTACATCTCCACAGGGAAGAAAATCTGCCCCGTCATTGATTGCATACACTTAAGAATTTCTCTTTCAGAATCACGAGCGTTGAAACACATTTTAGGCATGAGCATGACGCATTGGGCCATAGATCAATCAATGGAACGAGCCTGGCCTAGATTCTAAAGAAGGTTCAGACTGTTTAGCTAATGATTAGAATTAGTGTGACACGTGTCTGTAATTAGTTATGTTAAACACGTGAAGGTTGTTAGGGGTTGTTAGCTCAGATGCTTAACCATTAAGCAAAGCCTAAGTATAAAGGCTCTACTGTACGTGTATAGTGAAAGAGAGAAAAATAGATTTGATTCTCACCATTTTCAGAATTCTCAAAGCTCTCTCTCTCTCCTCTCTCTCTTCTATTTTCCTGAATACTTAGCACAGACTGGCTAATAATGTTATTTGCAATTGCAAATAACATGGTTTTATTTATTTGAACGCAAACGGGTCTATTCCAGTAAAAAGGGCATTGATTTAAAGATTAAGTGTTTCAATTTTGAATTCCCATGACATTCGTGTGAGAGAGAAAAAAAAAAAAAAAAAAGAACAATAATAGCTTAGAAATTAGAATGACTCATGAAGGGCAACGAAAGTCTTACACCTATTAACACACCTCAATCTCAATGGGTTGGATATTTATACCAAAATCGTTACAACCAATACAAAATCTCTTTAGACAAATGGCTCAACATAATAACATTGTGGAAATTTTTAGGTCATGATAAAAGGTTGTGAAATATTAGGTTTGAGTTTTAGCACTCGTAAAGAGAAATTCTTAAGTGTATACATCGGTGATGGGGCAAAAGTTTCTCAAGAGAGGCATGAAAATCACTTTTGGTGGCAAATTAGCTTTTCTTTGTTTTGCCAATCACCTTCACCTAATATCAATGAGCCATATCACATATACTTTCTTTTTTAAAATTTTAAATTTTTTAAAAAAAAAGTGTATTCTAGTTTGAAATATTATAATTAGACCGACTTATAAAGCCAACTGGATGCTATTGTTATTGCACCGTTCTAAAGTTATATAATATAAGTAATAATGCCTCACTGGTGTAAGCTTTAAGATTAAATTCTTAGAATCAAGTAAGAGGTGGACATGGCTCTCAAGAAGCTGATGGTGGCTGGCTCTCTGTGACACCAGACTTTGTCAGTATGTAAATTAATTTTTTCACTGTCAAAACTTAATTCCTTTTGAGCTAATTAAAACGCATCCAGTTTCTTTGTGTTTGGATTATTTAAGTTACACCAGAAACCTTACAAATTTACAAATAATAAGCAAACAATCCATGATTCTACAACTTTTGTATGTATGCAAAAGCAGAAGTTGAGTATAAGCAATCTTTACCAACATTCAACAAAGACTAAAAGCAGAGGTCCAAAACATGGGTTTGGATACAAAGCTTCTGAAAACTGTGCTTATATGGGTAATGGCAGCAGCCACGACAAGATCAGCATCAGAAGCAGAAATTCCCCAAACCATAAGAGCAGATTGCCAATACAAGTGTGGGGAAGTTAGCATCCCATACCCCTTTGGCACAAATGACAAGCTATACTATACAGGGTGTCTTTCACTGTGTACAAGTACTGACAGCCTAGCCAATGGTTCCTGCTCGGGCATTGGATGCTGCAAAGCCGTTATCCCGAAAATGACGTACATTTTTAGTGTAAAATTCCAAAGCTTCCATAACCACACTGGGATTTGGGACTTCAATCCTTGTAGCTGTTCCTTTTGGGTAGAAGAAGAGTCTTATGACTTCTCCACTGTTGATCTTGTTGATCTCCAGAGTAGGAGCAAGGTTACCACAGTGAATGATTGGAGTATTGAGCAACAAACATGCAAAGAAGCACAAGAAAATGTGACAAGTTATGCACGCAGCCAGGATCATAGCTTTTGCCTTGACTCTGATAATGGTCCAGGATACCGTTGTAGTTGCTCTCCAGGTTATCAGGGCATTACTTACATCCCCAATGGTTGCCAAGGTACTTCAGTCTCTTTGGATTAAATGTTCACAGAGAATTCACTTATGTTCTTATTTGGTTTAGTTTATTATATTGTTTAGCAATCATTTTTCTTTTGGTGGATTGAACTAACAGGTTGCATTGCTTGTTTGTCTTCAAGATGTTGACGAGTGTGCTGATCCAATGCTTAATGACTGTGAAGAAAGATCTTGCATTAACCAAAAGGGGAGCTACCCTGTGCTTGCCCCCGAGACTACCATGAGGATGGCCAAAAAAATGGAGAAGGCTGCGTTGGTTATCAACTTCGAGTGATTAAGATTGTGGCTGGTAAGTTTGATATACATAAATCAAAATTTTGTTAGTCTCCAATGTCCCAATTCTGATATGAAAAGTTCAGAAATTTAGTACATATACCAAATATCTACACTTATTTTCTATGCAGGTAGTGGAGCAGGCCTCGTTCTACTGCTAGCTAGTGGTGGCTGGTTCTATCTGGGACTCAAGAAAAGAAAGCTTATCAAGCTAAAAAAGCATTATTTTCAGCAAAACGGTGGCTTAATGTTACAAAAACAACTCTTGAGACCAGAAGAATCCATTGACACTACCAAAATTTTCACAGAGGAAGAACTCAAAATGGCCACCAACAACTTTGATGAGAGCAGAATCATTGGCCGCAGCGGATATGGAACAGTTTATTTATAGCTGAGTTACCTGATCAAAGAGTTGTTGCCATGAAAAAGTCCAAAATAGTCGATCGTAGACAAAACGATCAATTCATTAATGAAGTGGTGGTACTATTGCAGGTCAATCACAAGAATGTAATTAAACTCTTCGGGTGTTGTTTAGAGACAGAAGTGCCATTGCTTGTTTATGAATTTGTCACCAATGTTACCCTCTCTGACCATATCCAACAAGAGAACACAAATTCCACTGCCACCATTCCTTAGAACGTACGTCTTAGAATAGCCACAGAAACTGCAGGGGTGCTTTCATACTTAACACTCTGCAGCATCAACCCCAATCATCCATAGAGACATCAAGTCAACAAACATACTCTTGGATGATAATTACACAGCAAAAGTGTCTGACTTTGGACTTTCAAGGCTGGTTTCTCTAGATCAAGCTCAATTGTCTACAGTGGTGCAAGGAACTGTTAGATATTTAGACCCTGAGTACTTACAAACCAGCCAACTGACAGACAAGATGTGTATAGCTTTGGAGTTGTAATGTTGAAGCTACTAACCAGGAAGAAGGCGGTCTTTTTTAATGGGCCTGCAGAGGAGAGAAATCTTGAAAGGTTCTTTCTTTCTGCACTGAAAGAGGACCAGTTAAGAATTATTCTTGAGGATTGTGTACTTAAGAGAGGGAGATGTTGAGGAGGTGAAGGAGTTTGCTAGCCTTGCTGAGAGGCGTTTGAGAATGAAAGGAGAAGAAAGTAGCAGCAGAACTAGAGGATCTGACTACTATGGCATTGGCAGGGCAGTCATGGGTTGGAGAGGAATTGAATTCAAAGTGGCAGGGAATTTTGGTGGTGAGCATCAAAAAAACATTAGTGACGGAGGAGGCAGTACCGGATACCTGACTTTTTAACAATTTCATGCTGCAAGAAAGTGATGGGAGAGGAATGTATTGCTTGCAATTATGTACACCTTTATTTGGTTGTGTACTGAATTTGCTGATGCTTTTGCTAAATGCTTATGAATTATCTTTGCTTCATCGTTGTTTATTTATTGTCTTCAAATTCCTTATTAGATTGGCCTCTATTTATTGAAGTATTCTTCTCATTTATAAGATTTCAGTTCAACACAGAATCACATTGACTACAAAGTAATAAGGTAATTAAACCTGAGAAATAAGTGCTCTATGTAAGCTTAGGAAAAAAAAAGCACACAATCAAATGGACTTGTTCACTTGCAGCAGAATCATCTCCCATCATTTACTGGTAGCATAATGTGGTTCCTCATGGTATCATACCCAGAACTTGAATTGCCACCGCCTCCACAACTAATAGTTTCCATGGATATTCCACCAAGAAGGGACTCAGTCTCTTCTGAATTGGCTTCATTACTAACCCATGGATGCATTACCATCCTTCTCAGTCCTTCTAGTTCCATAGCCACTTCCTTCATTGTTGGCCTTTCTTCTCCTTTCACTCTCAAACACCTCTTCGCAAGGTTTGAAACCTCCTTAAGCTGCTCAATGTTTCCCTCATTCACATACAATCATCAAGAACTTGTAACAAGCGGTCCTCTTTCAATGCAGAAAGAAAATACATAGCCAAATTTCTCTCTTCCTCTGGCTGGTCAAAGGAAAGCGCTTTCTTTCTTGTTAGTAGCTCAACCAGGACAACCCCGAAACTGTAAACATCACTTTTCTCTGTCAATTGGCTTGTCTGCAAGTATTCGGGGTCTAAATACCCCAGAGTTCCTTGCACCATCGTAGATAACTCAGCTTGGTCTATAGGAACCAATCTTGAGGCACCAAATCAGACACTTTTGCTGTGAGAGTTTCATCCAGGAGTATGTTTGTGGACTTGACATCTCTGTGAATGATAGAACAGAGGCTGCAGAGTGCAAGTAGGATAGCACTCCAGCAGTTTCTGCAGCTATCCTTAGATGGATTTCCCAAGAATTGTTTGATTTCGTTGCCTTGCTTGTGTTATGGATGTAGTCAAAGAGGGTTCCCTTGGTGACAAACTCATAAACTAGTAGTGGAACTTCTGTTTCAAAACAACAACCTAAAAGCTTGACCACATTTCTATGGTTGATTTGGGAAAGCACCAACACTTCATTAATGAATTGGTCTATTTGGCTTTGATCCACCATTTTTGACTTCTTGATTGCAACCACCCGGCCGTCTACCAAAATTCCCTTGTACACTGTACCAAAACCACCCTTGCCAATGATTCTAGTCTCACTATAATTGTTGGTGGCCTTCTCAAGTTCTTCTGCAGTGAAGATTTTCGCCGTTTCGTGAGTGGATCCTTGTCGTTCTGAAAGTTGCTGTTGTAGCATAAGTCCTCCATTTTTCCGGAAGAACTTCTCCTTCAGCTTCATCAGCTTCCATCTTTTGTATCCCAAGTAAAACCATAAGCTTCCCATTAGCAAGGCTAAGAGGCTGACCCCGATTCCTGCATTTCCAACAAGTTTAGACATCAACCATCATGGTCATTGTTTTAAATAGTTTTACTCAATATAATTACACAAGAAGAAAAAATATATATAAATCCCAAAGCAGTTAAATCACTCCTGAAACATAGTGATTTGGAGTGGCAACAGATTCATATATAATAAGCATATATACTTACCAACAGTAATCTGAACAACTAATGTTCGATTAGGGGAGCAACCTTCTCCGTTTGTTCTACCATCACCATGGTACCCCTTCCGGCAAGAACATTTATAGCCTCCATCTGTATTTATACAATTTTGTCTGCAGTCATGGAGGTTTGCATCATCGCATTCATTAATGTCTGCAAAACAACATAACCCATATTTAGAAATTAAGCAAGTTAGTAGTACCTACTAACTTTTTTTGGTACGAAGCGAAGGACGCAAGACTGAACCTCACTGCATCACGGCAGCAAAGTGACAATTCAAAACAAAGATAATATTCAATTAATTTACCACGGCAGCCATTGAGGTATGGATTCCCATGGTAGCCGTCCTTGCACTTGCAGCGATACCCGACACCATTGTCAACATCATCACACCTACTGTTCTTTTGACATGTGTAGTTCATCAACTTTTTATTTTCAACAACTTCACATGCTTCATTTCCAATTGACCAATCTAGTACCACTGGGAGCAATCTCACATCTTCCAAATCCTTGAGCATGTTGGAGGAGAAGTTGAACTTTCCCGCTTCGACTACGAAGGCATAGCTGCAGGGGCTGAAATCCCACACATTCTTATGGTTGTTGGAACTAGTTACACTTACTTTAAAAAAGGTCATCCCTTTAGCAATGGATGTTTGGCAACAGCCTATACCAGAGCATGAATAGTTGGCAACAAAGTCAATGCTGCCACATGTTGTGGTGCACCCACCGGTGTACCCGTAGGCTCTCCCTTTGTAACCTATGATATTTGCAGAGGTGTCACACCCGACCGCCACGAACTTGTTATCGGTGTCTGATATGAAGAATCGGGAGAGGGAGAGAGAATTTTGTAAGCCACCCAATGGCGTGCCTGACTTGTTGAAACATTGTATGGCTATGTATTGCTTAATATACAGCTTCCCATCCACAGATATGTTTGTGACCTCAATTGAGTCACTTTTTCTAAGAAAAGGCTTTGGAGGGTTATATGTGTCATTGCAAGTGATGAGGAAATCCTGGTTGTAGTAACAATCCTGGGTTGTGCCAAATGGATATGGGATGCTCACATCTCCACACTTGTCTTGGCAGCCAGGCTTGACTTCTACTTGATCAGAAGAAGGAGGGCTTAATGTTGCTGCTGTTGTTTGAGCTGAAGCTGCGGCTGCTAAAAGCACTTCTATGAGGGTGATCAGTTGCAGAAGCAGAAGCATAATTCTTTGAATGCTCATGGCTTCTGGTTAAGTTTTTGTTGTTGAAACGAGGTGTTAAATTGATGCTTTTATTGGCGGCTAGGAGAAAGACCGGACTCCTTTGGAGAGACTTGTCAACAAAATATTACATAATTATAAACTCAGGTCCAAGTGGTCCTGTTTTTTTCCTCTTCTTTTTAACACGTGGCATTGGTCCTGCAACTTGTCACATGCATCTAGATCTCAATTATCACTTGCTCTGAACTGACTGGGGGAAGATAGAAAGCTGCAAATAGTATTGTTGCAGTAAGCTGTTTTGTATAAAGGAATATTTTTTATTTTTTTATTTTTTTATTTTTTTATTTTTTTATTTTTATACCACCAATATTAAAGGAGAGAGAATTGAATCAAATACATAACCTGATGTATAAGAATAACTACTCTTAACCACTGGAGCTATAAACATATTGCGAAATATTTTGTAAGTTTAAAGAAGAGTAGGAACATCATTCCACTTTTTGACCTCTTCTAGTTTAGTCATGAGAGTAGGAGCAGAGTAAATCATCTCAAATTTCCAACATGAACAGTCCTTATCATCCAGACTGACGGAACCAAAAAAAGAAGAAGACGTCAACGACGTGTTTGAAAAAGTCAACGAAGACTTATGCCTGAAGAAGCGCGATGGCATTTACGAGTAAAGTCTTGGGGGGTTTAAAGAGGCCCCACCCAGGAATTGATTTTGATTGGTGTAGAACCAGAACGAGGAGAGGATTTCTGAATCGCGTTAGGAGACCAGATGCATAATCTGATGAAGAATCTTGTCTTGTTTTGGGGTGAAAGGTTCAGCCCAATTTGAACAACTTGCCACAAATTAATTATCTCAACTTGGAGGGGTGAAAAAACACTGATAATGACGTCATTTGCCAAATACATCTTCTATTGTTGTTTAGGAAATCATGGTAAATACTTTATTTTAAAAAAATTAATAAGAAAAAGAAACCATGGTATATGAAGAACATGCAGATATAATTTTCTGTGTGTTTTCATGGAAAGTTCTAAGGTTTTTCCTTCCACTTTCCTTCATATTCCTCCAATCCAACGGCCTACTTATTTTGCCCCTTTGTCCAGTCGAAATATAAAACCTTGATTAAGACTGGCTCAGTCAGCTGCAGAGTAACTAATTATTGACCAACCGAAGTAATTATCTGCTAAGCCGACATTATGATCGTATTATGAGAAAACCCTTTTCATGCTAGTACTATATTCTAAAGTGTAAGACTAAGTCATGCTTGAGTTTGTCAGACACTTATTTTTTCTCTCTTCAAATAGGCTCTATATGGGTTTTTGGATAATATGTCATGCTAAAATTGGTTTATTTATAAAAACCTGTCCCTTTTTCCTTTATTCTCCTCATGTGCATGTTCATATATCACTTGTTTTTGGTGAAGCAGTATGAAAGCAATCACAACTTTCACACCACATATGTACTCTTCATGGATTTAGAAAGAGAAGTCCCAAGCAGTCACAGGCCAAAAAAGCATCGCAAGAAGGGAAAATTACTTTGGATCCAATTGAAGAGAGTAAAATAGTCTTTCCAGATTACTCTATAAGGATTTCTATTCTCTCTACATATAATTCTTGACTAAATAATCTATAGACATCTCCTCACCGGAGTTTGCACAATTCCACTACAAACCATACATATTCCTCTAAAACTGATTTGTTCAGCATGTAAGACGATGTTTCTTTATATGTACATGGATAAACAGAAAAAAAAGAGATGTGGAATGTGCACCTATAAATTAATACGAGCACGAACCCTTCACCCCGACCAACCTATCCCATACTTCTCATTAGGGAGGGAAGCTACGAGTACATGCTTTGTTCGCATTGTAACTTTGGTTCTTGAAGGAGTTCCAGGTGTACGGTGCATCACTTCAGTGACCCAATTGGTCATGGAAAAATGGCCCAACGACAACTCCAACTGGCTACTACCTGCTGCACAACCATCTCCTGTAGCATCTTCATCCTGCAAACACGAAGAAGAAGCAAGCCATGTATTACTCAGGACTTTTTCAATTAACTTTTTAGCTTTCCTAGAGAAAATATCTGATCATACTTCTTTCAGAGAATGGCAAGAAGCTCTCATCTACCGTTTGCCCATGACCAGACACTTTGCATAACTACTCTCTTTTTGAGTTTCCCATACAGATTTCTCAGGTAAGTTAATCTTCATGTATACCGCGGTACAAGGTTTCAATATGAAAAGGGCCAGTATCATAATCCCTCCAATAGTTCTGCATGCCAAGATTCACCAATTAAACGGAACAGATAGATAAATAGCTATGTTTTATAGATGCATGTATACATATCATTAAGCAGCAAACATTCGGACTGTAGGTGCTACATCCATATAATTTCATATGCTATTTAAAAGATGGACACAAAGTATAAAGATCCCACGATTATTTGAAAGTAGTCCACTTGTAAGAATTTTGTCATTTTATTCCTCCACCCTCATCGTACTAGTGAAAAATAAAAAAATAAAAAAATAATAAAAGGGAAGCAATTCTGAAAGCAATAATTCTCATAACTCATACATTCCAAAACTTACTGACTGTCTAATATTAATAGAGAGAATTTTACACCCAACAAATTTTTGAATGAATATGAGAAACATCCGAACAGCAGATAAAGGCACAGCTGAATTATTATTCCTGTGCAACAATTCCCAAAAGTCTGAGCAAGAAAATAAACAATATAGTTCAAAGGCTGTAAGCACAACAATTTGCATGAACAGTATCCAATATTTTGCTTGATAAAAATAGAGATGGATAAAAATTCCAATTGCATGAATAAGGAAACATTCAATGTGAGTACATACGTATGTGCTCCGATGCAGAAATATATGGATGCTCAAATGCTCTTGGTCCTGCACGAAATACAAAGACTCCTTGAGGATCAGAAAAATTATCTGGTATTGTGACGTAATAATTAAATGTCTAACTGAGACAAAAAAGCAACAAGGCTATAAGAAAAGTCATGCATAGTTTGCTACTAGATTGGTACGTTAGTGCTAATGAGAACAATATGGGGTTACAAAGCATTCACAGCATATTTCTAAAAAGACAAAAATGAATTCAGTGGATGCACACAGTTTGAGTGAATTCTTCTGTTTGTGTCGAATCTATGTGGAGGAGTGGAGTAGGGTGTATCTACGCACTTGAAGACATGATCAACCTTCTCCTTCACTTCCAGTACTCTTCCATCCTCAGAGTACCATTTATGATCTCCTTCCTTTTCTTCAGCGTTTCTGCTGTATTGCAATATAACCAAAACTACTATAAATTTTTTTCGAAACCTACGAAACGAGGGATGTTGTTCGAGAAAGAGAGTCAATTCAGTTAGTTTCTATTTTAGCGGACATTAGGAAGTTTTTTCCACACCACCAAATCCTCCTTTGGTTTCTTAAATATGAAGAGATCAGTACACCAGAAGGCAAATTTGCGCTAAAAAATGTAGTCTTCTGAGTTGGACACTATCACTAGAAGAACCGGATCACAGGGTTGAAGGAGCAAAAAATCTACTACCTTCTAGGCGATCCGTGTTTTCTATAGACTGGCAACTGTCGCACTTTAACCTGTTCACACATATATAACCTTGGGAATGTCAACATCTTCTCACAATATAATAAAAATCAGCATCAATGTACTCAAAAACTCAGGTTTTGTGGAAGCACGAACTGATCAAAACCCTAACTCCATATGCTCAGTGGCAGACATCACCAGATAAGAAATTAAGAACAATGCACGGAATGAAAGGTTCAGAAAACTAAGGTGCTGTACTATCAAACATCGTATGGACCAATTAAATGACAATCCAGTTGGAACTCAAATTGCAAATTAAAAAGGTAATGTGATAGAACAGAGCAAATAAAATTCTGGTGATCAAGTAGAGGAAAGCTGAGAACACTAATAATACAGGGTCAAAGGAAAATTGAAAACCTACAGCATGACCACTGTGGAACACATAAATTATCAGGCGTGAAGCAAACTTGGCGGCGATCAGAACCAAGTAAAAACGCTCATGATGAAAGAATAAAAACTCTATCGTTATCTGTAAGTCTTTCTGTTTTGCCCTCCTGAACAAAGATGCTTGTAGGGTTATCTCCATGGCATAAAATTTCAGTTGTGCTAGGCTAGGTCTACCGTCTCATTTCTTTTGTGCCTTTTCTTTGTGCCGTAGACTCGGTGGCTAATAAACTATAGTTGAGATAATAGCGATAGAAATAAAAACAAGACAAGAATTTAAAGGCTAAGAGATAGAAAAGACGTTTAAGAGTACCAAAAATAAAGACATGAGAAAGAGGAGAATTCAGATTAGAAAGAGAGTATCAGCTTAGGAAGTCTAACAAAAGCCCCAACCTTTACAGGTTTAATGATCCATATTGCTTGAGAACGAGCACAAAGGGCCTAACTTTTCAGTGAATTCGACATGAAAAAGTATGGGAAAGCGAGAGAGAGAGACGAGAGAACGGAGGAGAGTTGCCAAGTCTGCATAGGTTAAAATGTGACCTGAAACCCATATGCAACCTCTTTCACCTCTTGGTAGGGTATGATACACGGTCGGCTTGTGATGTATTCTCTTAACACAAGTTGGTTCAATTCTGTATTTAAAAACGTGGCGTCAAGTTCTATCAGGTGTTGCGAGATGAACATGTACAATTAAACACAACAGAACACAAGAAATAATAGAATATGGAGTGATGAGCACTAGTTGATTCTGCATATATATAAGAATTTTCTGATGAAATCATTAGTACAAATGAGCACTGGGCACAAGTGAGGCAAAGCGCAAGGAAAGGCTACGGAGCAAGGATAGGGATTTAGCTGTGAATAACTATGGGCGTAGCAGTTTGAGCCAAATAGACAGCCAAGAAACATATGACAAAGAACGAAGATGAGTTTGGCATGGTTACTTTGCTTACAATAAATAACGAAATAACAGAGATTTGAATCAAGAAAATTACAGGGGCACACAAGGGAATTTTCAACTATGAAGTTGGTTTGGAATGTTTATAATCGTTGTGTCCAATTTTGCTTTCAGGGGAGTTAAAGCTACTTACTGTGTGTAATAAGTAGGGCGACATTGGTGCAGTTTTTTGGGAGGACAAAAAAAATTCAACCAATACAACATGGGGGAAAAACCTATAGCTATAAACTTTAGGCCTGGAGCGCACATTATATTCTGGACTGGATCACAGTTTCCTATCTCTATTTTGCTAGTAAATTGTTTGAATTTTTGTGATCAGAGTACTTTTCTAACCTACTCCATCCTGCCATTAAACTTTTTTAGCTCTGAAAACTTTTCTTATTGCAGAAACTCTTGGTGCCATGAGCAGGGGTTCTTCCCTTGTGGCCAACCCACGTGGCATTTATTCACGAAAACTGGTCAACGCCATGCACTTTACTTTGCATATCCACTACGAGAAACACTTCTGCAAATGCTGCCAATGAAAACTGGCTTCAATTTAAGTATTACAGCCCGAGGCAGTGACCTGCAAAATACCCCGAGATGCAAACAGGACTCAAAGGGGTGAATATGTGGCAACATTGTGAACGCTGGCATCTCCTCAACTTGTGTTTCTCTCCCAAATATTTTTAAAAAAAAAAAAAAAAAAAAAAAAAAAAAAAAAAAAAAAAAAAAAAAAAAAAAAAAAAAAAAAAAAAAAAAAAAAAAAAAAAAAAAAAAAAAAAAAAAAAAAAAAAAAAAAAAAAAAAAAAAAAAAAAAAAAAAAAAAAAAAAAAAAAAAAAAAAAAAAAAAAAAAAAAAAAAAAAAAAAAAAAAAAAAAAAAAAAAAAAAAAAAAAAAAAAAAAAAAAAAAAAAAAAAAAAAAAAAAAAAAAAAAAAAAAAAAAAAAAAAAAAAAAAAAAAAAAAAAAAAAAAAAAAAAAAAAAAAAAAAAAAAAAAAAAAAAAAAAAAAAAAAAAAAAAAAAAAAAAAAAAAAAAAAAAAAAAAAAAAAAAAAAAAAAAAAAAAAAAAAAAAAAAAGTCATTTCCCTTTTTTTTTCTTTTTTGGGGTTTTTTGAAAAAACAAAAACAAAAACTGAAATATAGAACTTCTTCCACTTTGCCTTCTTGAACTTTTCAATTTGTCTTGGAGCCCTAATCTTTCAAAACATGTCAATATACCCCTTTTCGTCAAGTTTGTTAACTCATATTATTAAATGAAGGGCATTTTTATCCATAAGTTAGAATTTCGTTTAACTCATTTAAACCTTATTTGGTTCGACCCATTCCTTCTTATAGACCCATTTTCATGCATGAAAGCTTCATTTCACTTGTTTTATGTCCATTCAAAATATGATTTGAATGAAAGAATTAGTTGAGTCAATTAGTGTATAAGTTGGTCATAGGGGTGCAAGTTTGTTTGAAAAATCTGATTCTAACAAAATTCGTTTTGAAAATTTCCAATTTTGGCAAGTCCAAATTATTATGACATACGAAAGTTTAAAAATATGAAAATTCTGATAAAAATTGGAATGTATTTAGAGATTCCAAAAATTCAGAATTCCAAAATATATTCGGGTATCAAGCTTAGATTACACACAATTACATGTTGAACTAAATATAATTTGATGACCAATTAGACACAGATAAGTTATTTCATAAAGGATAACAACATCTAAGTACTAACATAAATAGTTGTCCAAGCTTATGGTATGAGTTTTCAATTTGAGTCAATTTTAATCCTTCAAATGGTTGGGCATGTTTAAAAATTTGAAGTAGTTTCTAAAATTTTCCAAAAAATCCGAGTTTTTCGAAATGGAATCTACATTGAAATTTCAAATTTTTTTGGAAAGAAATTGGAATTTAATTTTCATTCCAAACTTTTTTGAATTGAAATTGAAATGCCTTGATTTTGATCCGATCCGTCCGAAAATCAGCCATAATTGGTCAGATCAAATCCAAACTTGAATATATACAAAAAGGCCTGAATTTGATAGAAAAATTATGAAACTTGACGGAGGGGGCATATTGACATATTTTGAAAAAACAGGGGCATTGCTAAACTATTTTGTTATATTTTACTCTTTATTATTTGGGCAAAACGCCCAAAGAAAACAACCCGAACAGCCCATTGGTAAATGTTGAATTGGGCCTGTAGGCCCAATATAAAGCTAACCCTAAAATTGATTTGGGTGGGTCAGATTAAAATATATTGGAGCCCCACTCTATATAAGGCCTTAAACCCCTCAAACTCACACACATCGCCAGAGTCATATCCATTCTGATCAACTCCCTCCATCTCTCACCCACTCAAAACCCTCTGGCCTCTGTGACACACGCATTAATTGAAACCCTAGATTCGTGCCCCGACTGAGCTAATCAAGGGGTTTTGGTGGCACTTTTTCCAACTCGGTAGTTTGGAATTTCAGTGAGCCCTATGGCTGAGGAGGAGGTTGTGGGAGCCGAGGCGGGAAGCCCTAAGCCGTCGGATCACAAGCGGAAGCTGGAAGATTTGGAGCCCGAAGCACAACAGGAGATAGTTGACCTCACCTCCGACGGGCCGGATGATCCGAATGTGGAGCCCGATGCGGCCAATGAAGTGGATGTGCCGCCTTCAGATGAATCTGAAGCGAAAAGGCCTCGTCTTGAAGACAAGCCCGATGAAATAGGTATTTAGCTATTGATTTTTAATGATTCGGGTTTTTGCTAAAAGTTTTGGGTCTGATTTTTCTGGGTTAATATAATGTCACATTCTTATGAAGCTAGTTTCATGATAAGAAGTACTTTAACATTTTACAAAATAAACAAGTGACATGCACTTTTGATAAAGAATTAATTTTACTAGTTCTTTAGTATTGGCTTTGCAAAAAATAAACATGGGCTAGTATCTATAATTCAATATAACATATTATTTGGATTTTGAATTTGATAAAAACAGCCAATGAGAATGGCTACCAAGAGGAGAAGGTAGAACAACCAGAAAAGGAGAATGAGGATCAGCTGAATGTTGATAGTGGCCATTCAGAGCATCCTCAGCCTCCATCTGTGGAAGTTACAGAATCAGTGAAGAACCAGCAAAAACCCGAAGTTAATGAACAACATTATGATATAAACGGTGAACAAAGTGAGACCCAAAAGCTTTCTGAGAATTCTGTGGCGGAAGATGCTCAAGAACCCCCTCAAGAGGTGTCTCAACCACACTACGCTGAGGAACCTCAGCAAGGTGACGCTTACACTTCTGCAAATCATAATTTGACACACAAAATGGAGGTTCCTAATAATAAGGTCAGCTGGTTATTCCCATATTATGTTGTGTTGTTAACAGTCAAACATTTTAGGAGGTAACACCCGGCATATGAATATTGGCACCCCCTGCATTCTTGCCTTGATTGTTAGGCATGTTGTGTACAGTTTGATTATCATGGGTTGACCTTTCTTCTGAAACAAAATCTGATAATTTTGGGGAGCTCTGAGCTTCCAGTTGGTCCAAATTCGACTTTTAACTTTTTTGGAATTCTATTGTAAAACCTAGTTGAAAATAAAGGCCTCTGACAAAAGCATTTTATAAATATTTGTGCAGGTTGGGGTTCTAATTGGCAAGGCTGGGGATACCATAAGGTACTTGCAATACAACTCTGGAGCAAAAATTCAGATAACAAGGGATTCTGATGCAGATCCATATTCTGCAACCAGGCCTGTGGAGATAATAGGAAGTTCGTTTAGCATAAGCAAAGCAGAGAAGCTTATAAATGCTGTTATTGCAGAGGTCGTTTGCTTTCTCTGACTTAGTTTTGTTGTGTTTTCCAAAACTTTCATTGCTCTTATAAGTTTTTGCATTTGGAGATCGGAATTTTTTTTAATGCTGAATAAGGTGTACTCTTTTGCAGGCTGATGCAGGGGGTTCTCCTTCTTTGGTGGCTAGGGGTGTTGCTACTGCACAGGCTGCTGCAGCCGCAGAACAAATTCAGATACAAGTTCCGAATGAGAAGGTGATAACCTTTCTTGCACATGTAAATGATCTGTGCCTTTGCATTCCATAATACTTTATATAAGACATTATTTTTCTTTGCTAGGTTGGCTTGATAATAGGCAGAGGTGGGGAGACCATTAAAGGTCTGCAGACCAGATCAGGGGCACGTATCCAGGTAGTTGATATTGTATGCCTTGCCTTTATGCATGGAAACAAAATGTTGCATGTTTTTCTTATTTCAACCCATCCTTACTGACCCAACCCTTTTACCTGTTATTTAGTTGATACCCCAACATCTCCCGGAGGGGGATGAATCTAAAGAAAGGACGGTGCGAGTAACTGGTGATAAGAAGCAAATTGAAGTGGCAAGAGAATTGATAAAGGAAGTTATGAATCAGGTTACCTTTTGACCCTCTTTAAAATATTTTTATTGGTATTTAAATTGTGATTGCGATACATAGGTTATTTTTTTATATATAGGAATGGTATTGTGGTTGTTTATTTTGTGCGAGCAATATTGTGCGAGCAATATTGTGCTTATTACACTGGTTTCATCTACATTGAACTATTGTCAGTGTATGGTGTTTGAGTTCTCTTGTGTCTTGTCCCTTTTTCTGATCTCATATACCTGCTTGGCATGTCCATGTACAACAAATGATTGGATAATGTGTAAAAGCATGAGGTTTATGTAACTCCTGTGCATGTATTTTTGAATGCTCCTTAGGAGTATGCCTGCATACTGGCAGTCTTGCTTCTTTTGTAATGTTGTTGTCAACCACGTCCTACACTCATCGTGATAGATTTCCATTGATCTTGTGTATGTATACCTGTCGGATTTAATGAGCTTCCTAGTCGTGTGCATGGCATCACTCCTTTTGCATTGGGCATTAGATGTAATGTCTGTTTCAGTCTGCCACTTGTTAATGACAAATCGTGGTGTATGTTCACTTCGGTTGTCTACTGATCTATATTTTCAGGAAATAATATTTTTTTTCCCAAAGAAGGAATTATATGATAATTTTGATATAGCAGAGTCGTCTGTTGCTTTCATGGTACTGTCTCAAATAGTGTGGTAGTATGGATAATTACTTGAAGGTTAGTATGCGGACAAAATATTCTTGATTGGAGCTATCTTAAGATAGAATAGACAAGTATGGTTATTTAGATTTCTTGAGTAAAAGTAAACCTTAGGTATGCGGATGTCTTGATTCCTACCAATTATTGTCAAAGATACAGATAAAAGTATAAAAATTTAGTTGAATTGTATGTGTCCTATGCAATAGATAATCAATTTTCTCAGAAGACTGGTTAAGTAGAAATTCTGTATCTTTTGATGGTGTGCCACATACGTTTATGGTTATGGTATGATTAGATGTCCAGTGAACTGTACTTGCATGCCTGTGACACCTTTTGGTCCATTTGAGGAAGAATTATTACAATATTTTGCCATGGGAATGAGAGCATGACCATTTGCCCCTAAGAGTTTGCAATATTGATGAATGATCCATGCCAAGGTCACTTAAATGCTTTTAGGGAGATCAATATATTCAATCAAAGATGCCGGTTGCCATGATTTATTTGTGTTGAAGGTGCCGATTTCGAATTGGTTGGCTTTAAAAATGCAGATTTGGCTATTGCATTTTCCATGGGGTCAGCATTGCCTATACAACCACTATTCACTCTCATCCACCGAAGAAAGGTATCTGGCATTTAATCTCGCAATTGCAGGATGTTAATAGTTGGTAAGATTGCTTTGAGACCTCACAGTTGAAATCCTAATTCAGTAAGACTATATTGCATTAGCCTTAGCGCTCATAAGCACCTCCCATATACTATGCATGAGACGTCTATGGAAGAAATTGTTATTCCTGGTCACTTGATGCTACAAAAGAATTTTTATGGAACCAACAGTCCATCAATTTGTGTTTGATGCTATGATGATGTTTCAAACTGTGGTACATGTCTTATAATATGTATCAAGGTGTAGTGGCATTGCTAAAGCTAGGATTGATGCTATAATGTAACATTATTACGTCTATACTTTGTTACCCATTTGACCCGACTTGATTTGATGCTGAAACATGCCGCATATATACATCAAGTAGAATTAGTATGCATTGAAAGAGCTGAAATATCAATTTATGATGTTTCTTGCTAGACACTTTTGAATTCTTAATGTCCCTGTAAGTCTAATGCTGTGGCCTTGTAGATACCCACTTTTCATCTTGACTCGTCGATTTTTTAAAGATACTTGGTATATGCTGTAATAAATTTGGGACTTCTCGACTGCGGCATTACTGAGATACATGGATGGAAGCTGCCAAAGGGGTTGTAGTATATCTCTGGCATGAATTTTACTTTCCGTATGTCACATTTCTTTTCTTCTTGGTTGATAAGGGAGAGAATAGCCAGATAAATTTCTTAGAGCTTTGAACTTAGAAAGACCCAAGAGTATACTTTTTGGTGACTTCATATAATGAGTTGTTTGATGCCCTACTACTTGCCTCTTATATTTGCAGCCCTTTTTATTTGGAGAAGTTTGTTTCTATTCTCATACATAAATTTTCTGTTATGGTTGTCGATAGTAATTTGACATTGTATTTTTCGCTAAAGTAACCCTTGTTCCCTATATCCGTTCATCTCATTCAGTCAAGACGATGCTCAGGAGCCCCTCAAATTTTAAGAACAGGAGATGTGGCTAGAGCAGCAACTTCTCCATTCATTTTACTATTTGAATGTGGAACTATTGTTTCTATATATTGATTGTTTTGTTTTGTGATTTCCTTTGAATAGACTGTGAGGCCATCACCTCTCTCCAGTGGTTTTAACCATCAGGGTTATCGGCCCCATGGACCAGGTGGTCCTCAATGGGGTCCACGAGGGCCTCATCTACCCCAGCAATCTACCTATGATTATCCGCAACGAGGACCATATCCATCCCATAATCCTCATTACCCTCCTGCATATGGAAGTTATCCTCAACATATGGGTCCAAGAAGTGGCTTTGGATCTGGTTGGGAGCAAAGGCCACCTCCTAGCATGCAGGGGATGCCTCCGCATGGTGCTGGTTATGATTACTACAGTGGACAAGGACCTGATGCCCCAGTATCTGCCCAACATTCAGCTCCTGTTCCTTCTCATGTTCCTGGCCCTTCTCCTAACCCTACAATGGCCCCACCCCCGTCTCAAGCAAATTACAATTATGGACAGCCACATGGTCCAGATTATGGGCATCCAGCACCTTATTCCCAGACTGCACCTCCTCAGCATAGCTATGGGCATGGGTACGAAGAACCAAAATATGATAATCATGCTCCAACACAGCATCCCTATGGAGGGCATGGGACTTCTCAGCCATATCCACAAACTGGAGCTCAGCCAGGTTATGGTCCACAGCAGCATTATGGCAAGCCACAATCATATGGCATGGCATCACAGGGGCCAGCTCCCCAGTCTTATGGCCCTCCTAGGGCTGGTCAACCAGGAGACGCAACTTATCAGGGTGCTGCACCAGCTCAATCATATGGTCCGAATGTTACAGCCCAACAACCATATCCGTATGCATCTAGTGTGCCTGCACAGCAGACCTATCCTACATATGGTACTGCCCCAACTGATGGGTATAATCAACCACCGCCTGTCTCTGGCTCAGGATATCCACAGCAAGGAGGACAACCGGTTAGTTATGGCCAGCCTGGAGCGCAGCAGGCACCCGGCTATGCACAAGTGGCTCCTACTGCAGGTTACACACAATACGCATCTACTCAACAAGGTTACACTGAGCAGTCTGTGCCAAACGCAGCAGGTTATGGGTACCAAGGGTCTCAAGACCCCGTATATGGAGGTGTCTCTGCATCAACCTATGGTGCCCCAGCAGCTGCGCAGCCAGGTTATGCCCAACCAACAACCCAACAAAGTTACGATCAGTCAGTCCCACAGTCTGCTGGTTATGGAGCTGCGCCAACTGCTTCAGCTGGTTATGGGAAAACAGTTTCACCTCAGCCTGGTTATCCTCAGTATGACTCGAGTCAAATGTATGCTGCTGCACCGCGCTGAATATACTAATCTAGTTTTTTTTTCTTCAGAGAGCTTCATGTTGTGATTGATGCCAGGTTCGTTTTCCTAGCAGTAGTTGTTAGGCCTAATCTGACTCGGTCGAACTTTGCATGCATGTACTGTTTCTATTGATGTAATGCAGCGCTAATGCTTTATTAAATTGTGAACCCTGACCATGAATGATACAATTTATGAATTGATGATATATATAAGGGTCGCGTGGTATCACCTGTATAAGATTCTTATTATCCTGCAATGCACATGACCAATCAGATAACAAATTACAAGGAGTAATTGAAGGCAATTGAAAACCCTAGTATCAAAGGGGAACTCTGCGAAAGTTAACAGGAACTAAAAACGTGCCTTGGCGCAAATATGAGTTTAGATTAGTTAAGCAGGCGCGGTACCCGTGTTCGAATACCTTTACATATAAAAAAAGGTATTTTGGCCAGATCCGTACTCATTTTCGCCATAATTCTGAGTGACAGACTGATTAAAGGTCGTTAACGTTTGTGCAGCAGGATCGAGTTGGTCAGTGGACACAATAAATAAATAATCAGACTGAATCATATGACATATGATATTACATCACGTCTAAATAAAAATAAGAAATTAAATACGAGATCGTGTGGGGGGGAAGGGGTGGTGCAGAAGAAAAACGTGTGAAATGGGAATAATTTTATTTTGCCATACCCATCAATAACAATACATCAAGGAAAAAAGTTATCAATTGTGACATATTGTGATTGACGGAAATAACAAAATAATGCTATCTCAGTTATACTCAAGTGTTTCCCGGTGTGGTGGGGTAAAAAGGTAGAGAAGGGTATAGTGCAAGTGTTATGTATTTATCCATTCGAGGTGTGGGTGTGTCTAAAATGGAACAGCAACAGGGTTTCAGCTTTCTCTGTGTACCCATTTGTATAATTGTATGGAAACATATCTTGTGGGATACGCAACAGAACTGCCCTGACATACATTTCGAACACCTCGCATCTTCAACTCATTTATTATCTTACTCCATGTCGTCACTTTCCCCATCAAAAACTCACTCACAGTCTTTTCCTACAAAATTAATATACAAATTTATAAATAAACCCAATCCTATACATGTATTTATAAAAAAACCCAAGCACTATTTAAATATAGAAACACACCCAAAATCAACAATTGTATATTTTTTGGGTGTGTTTATAAATGGGTTTTGAGTGTGTGTAATGATGGGTTTTGGGTGTGTTTATAAAGTGTTTTGGGTGTTGGGTTTTTTTATAATTTCAGTCCCCATTTTAGGTGTTTTAGTGAAACTCCCAAATTAATAATACAGCAGATTAATTTGGCATTCTCTATTTACTATCTAGTGAGATACTTTTATTTTCTTTTTTCTTTTACACATACCTTCACCCCAAAATAGGGATATTCCTTCATATATCAGTTATTTTAGTAATATTTCTTCGCATTTCATTTAGTGCCCGTTTGACATTACTTATATGAGGTGATAAGTAATTTTAAAAAAAAATTGGGAAGCCCAGTTCATTTGGTAAATTATGAGAAAATCACTTATTATTAAAAATTGTTGTGAGAGAAAGCAATAAGGGAAATCAGCTAATGAGGTGCTTTCATTTTCTAATTATGCTGGAATCAATTTTAAAGAGGCGCTGAGTTTAATGAAATTTATAAACTTCCGAAAATACCCCAATCTATTTCACGCTATCTCTTCTCTTCATGTGTTTTCTTCTTTGCATCCTTGTACTTCTTCACGCCATCTATTTTACAGAGTTCTCATTCTCTTGAATATCTTCTATTCTTCCTATTATTTTTCTTGTTGAATCAATTGAAGCACACTCTTGAGAAACCATAAAGACTTAGGTAAGAGGATATTATGTTTATTTCTTCTCAATTTCATTCTTCCCTCTTTCTCTTTAATTTCTAGGGTTTTAAATATAAATTTGATTCCTCACTCTCTCTTTAATTTCTAGAGTTTTAACTTCAATAGTTGTTGCTGTTGATTTTTATTTGTTGATTTTTTTTTCGGTTCTTGTTTTTGTTTCTTTGTTTCTTTAACAAAATATCTATTTTTAATGGAATATATTGGATTTAACTTGAAACATTTGTTTAGAGCATTTGGATACAAATATTTAATTTTCAACATAATACTTTATTTAATTTATAATTAAAATAATTTTTAGTGTATGATGGAAACATATTTAATTTTTAGTGAAAGTGAAAGTGCTTTCCCTTTTATCAAACACTTTAACAGAAAATCCATTTTAACATAATTCTCTTTTTAATTATTATATACAGTTCACAATACTTTCACACAAAAAATTACCAAACATTTAGAAACTGATTATTGTACCAACAACATTTTTAACAAACAGTTCTCTCATAACTAATTTCTCACAGCAAATTCGACTGCGATTATTTTCACAACATAACAATGCCAAACTGGCCTTTAGAATTTTGTTATTTATAATCTCATTTTACTAACCATCATCTTTTATGAAATTAATAAAATAAGGACATTCTCCAATAAGTATTTAAGTTAATGACTAGTTACATACTTATAATTTCGGCAGTTGGATTCCATCTAAGAGACTATCAACACATTTAATGAATGCAATCCAATGCCTAATATTAGAAGTATATAAACAATCTATAACATAAAATAAAATACTTACCGGAGAATCTCCCGATAAAACTATAACTAAAAATTCAGTTGCAAAAAATGGAGAAATAAGCACCTGTTATTTCTGTACAGAACACATTCACACCAAAAATACCAAGAAGAACCCAAAAAAAGAAAAGAGAAAGAAACGATCATAAGAGTGTACAGATAAAAGTTTTTCTGTTTTTTTTTCCTCTAACAATTCATAATTGTTATTTACCAAATAATGGAAGATTAAACATGGATGGGCTAATACTTGGATCAAAAACAGTCAAGGGTTGAAAAGCAAATCCCCACACTTGCATTTCCAGCTTATAGGCTTATAATTTGTAATGTCATCGCCTCTGGAGTAAGCTACATTCTTGGGGCTTGTTCTGGTGGAAGCAGGGAGGCCGCCATGGCTTCTGATTTTACTGTGGCCTTGGACTTGTGGGGAAACAGGGACCTGAACTGCCACACAATGCACACAAGCACTGCACCTGCTTTCACACCTTGGTGGTCTTGATCCTATTTGACGTGCGTTGACCACCACCCCAGCTTCATTTTCCTCAAGAACATGACCTCTCTGAGTAAATATGATTATAAAAACTCAGTCAGGAATCAATTAACACTCTGGTATAGAGTTTACAGACTTCATATTCAACTGGTAGAAAGAAGCAAATTAGCAATAGCATAGACATATAATAATGTCCGGACGTCAGCATAGGAGAATTTATCATGCAAATTAGCAATACCACATACATATATAAAACACTACATATAATATGAAGTCTTACCGTAGCAGTCTTAGTAAGCTTGCTTGAAATTAGTCTAGCACCTGAAAGAAAAAGAAAAAAAGAAACAGAACCCATGTTAGTTTTGCTTTTTCTTTTGAACAAAGAGGGTTATATTAGTGAATGAATTTGAAGAATTGGGGGAGGAGTTGTTAACCTTCAGCCATGAATCTCAGATGGGTCGAGCTTGAAACCAAGAGTAGGAAGATGGAAATGATTAGATGTCTATTTCTGTGCCAACAGGCGCAATTTTGAGTTCTGCCCATTTTTCAGAAGTGGGTGGAGAAGAAGAGAGCAAGTGGCCGCAACCACACCAAACCTAGATGAGAGCAGACAAGTCGTAGGGAGGTAAATAAAATTCAAAGTAAATATATGGTAGAGAGAGAGAGAGAGAGGGGTGATCAGGGTGGCAGTGTTTGCAGGAATGAAAATTTTCTGAAAAGTATAAGAAGAGAGGTTTCAGAAATTGAATGCCAGCTTCATAATGCAGAAAGATTACTCTATTTATTTCCTTTTTCACCCCCCAACTCTGTAGATGTATATGTATCAATGAGGGAACGTGGAGCGCAGAGGCAGAGTACAAAGGGAGAGCTCAAACGAAAAAGGGAAGGACCTCAGCCTCGTTTCATGAGCCTCCCAAAAACCAGGTAATTTGTACAATTATGATTTATGTTTAAAAATAAAAATAAAAACTTTTCTGAGTTGCATTGCATGCATAAACTTATTATAAAAAATAATAAAAAAGATTGACAGATACATACGGACAGAGCAACTGTTGGGAGAGGCCTCTCTCTCTCTCTCTCTCTCTCTGCATGTATGAGAAATACTTGGTTTTCGTTTTCTTTTCTTTGGGGAAATTTGGGGTGTTCCATTTTAACACGCTAGAGAGTGCTCTGTTTTTTCTTTTTCTCGTCTTGAAAACAGTACATGGGTTGTAGATCTCCCCAGAAAGATACTACTTTTGGGTGTGTTTAGAGGAAAAAGATTTTTTAGCACACCCAGCCAGAAGTTGCTAGACAAGTTATTTCTATTATGGGGTAGGTTTGTGACTGTGTGACTGTGTGACTGTGAGAGTGAGATAATTTTCTTCCATGAAATTCACACACCACTTGATTTATTATTTTTTTGGAAGGGAGATCAGATCAATAATGACAGACTCTTCAGAGCTTTTATCAGTGTGTGTGGTTGAATTGAATGAATCTGTGCCATAAGATTTGTACCCCGTGCGCAATAATGAGATTAGTTATTCATCAAGTTCCGAAGGTCCCTGTATAGAAAAGAAGCATACGTAATCAAATGCCATCCATGCTTGTTTTTTAGCCAAATTTTGAGGGACGCCAGTTTTGGAGATGAAATTCCAATCCAGATTTGGACCCTTTTATACTTGACAAGAACTGGTGGATATAAACCATCAATCAAAATTGTTATCCCTAGGACCCATCAATGCATTTTACATTTACCACATAATTTCCTGAGCTGGGATTGTGTTGAGCGGACGACTCTTAGCCATTGAAGCGATATGCGCAAGAAGACGACTAAACTTGCGTGTTGATGGATGCTCGTAGCATTTTTCTAATTGTCTATTACATTACCAACATAAACGTGTGGAAAGAAACTTGCATGTCACAAAGTGTATAATTCCCTTGTTGGATATAAAATTTATTAACTTTGAGCAAACAGCAAATTATTAACAAAACTTTGAATGTATATGTCTAAAGCCTCATCTAAAGTTGTTGGTCCCTCGTTCAGCCAGCCACTTCCAACACGGACCATTGCAGACTGAAAAAAAAATACAGGACCATGAATTATGAATAGTGCTTACAAATTAACAACTGAAGTCTGAAGGTGTAGCCAAAGCTCAATATTTAAGTAACCCCGTGAAGAAGTCCCAGCTTCCAAAGCCTTTGAGAAACAGAGGGCTCTCTCTCTTTGCTTTGCCGTGTTGAGTGGTGACCACATTGATTCAGTTCTGACAAAAATGTATAAATCATCATCAGCTTAGCCTCTCATACTTCGAATTTATGATGCCCCATATCTTTGTGTTGCTGTTTACCCAATGCAAAAACTTTATCCTGTGTCAATAGATTTACTGTTTTATTTTTTACTGATAAATTCAAATAAGTCTGACATCTCTCGTCATCCAAAGCTCATTGCATCTTAATACATTCAACAAGATCAATAGCGCTTTCTACTTGTTTATGATAAATTAGTAGCGCTTAAAACACGCTTTTGTGTTTGGGTTTTTATTGCAAATGATCCATGAGGTTAGCAAAATTATCATATTTGGTCATTTATGTATTTTTTTGACATTATTGATCATTTATGTTGCACCTCACACATCAATTTGGACCTGCCATTTAAGTTATATCAAAATTGATGTTAAATTGATGATGTGGCAGGTATGTGACTTGGATCCTAAAAAATCAGAAAACTAAAATAAAGAAAAGAAAAAATAAAAATTGCAACTCTCCCCCTTCTCCTTCCCCTTCCGTCTCTCTCTCCTCCCCACCCTCCCCCTCTGATCTCTCTCTCTCTCTCTCTCTCTCTCTCTCTCTCTCTCTCTCTCTGTGTGAGGCCACCACCCCACTACCTACCTACCTAGACCATCCCCAAGCCCAGTGCCACCATACAAGTTACAATCACCCTCATCCCTACCCGAGATCCACACCAGCCCCTGCCCAAGTCCCAGCAACACCCGAGAAGGGACGAAATTAACCAAAATGAGAGAGAGAGAGAGAGAGAGAGAGAGAGAGAGAGGCAAAGAGTGGGTTGCCACGGGGGCAAGGCGTTGGCAGAGGGAGAACACAGAGGGGGGATGGTTGCAGGTATTTTTCTTTTTCTTTTAGTTTTAATCTTTTTTATTTATAAAAAAAAAGACTTCATTTTCTTTTTAAAAAGGATTTTAAGTTTTAAAATATATCATTATTTTATTTGAAGTCAAATAGCATTGTCTCATTGGATATGTGGACATCAAATACATTCCATGAAAGCAATTTAACAGAAATTTTGACGAAATCTAATGGCAAGACCAAATTGATGTGTGAGGTGATGTCAAAAAAAATAAAAATAAAGAACCAAATGTGATAATTTCGCCAGTCTCAATGACCATTTGTGATTAAAAAAAACCCATTTGCGTTTTAATACATGACCGACATTAACAGAATAAAATTGCTTGTAATCTCACTACCAGCCCTAGGAAGGCCACATCATCTCCCTCTCTATTCTTCCAGAAAAATGCGTGTTGAACCGGCGGGATTTTATGTATGCTATGCTCTCCGTCAGTGTCCTTTCATATCCGAAGGCTTAAATTTCTCAGTTTGTGAGGTCATCTGAGGCTGAAATGTTCATAAAACTCCCTCAAAGCTCGGCCCTGAACCTCGATCGCTTCTCTTTCCCAAGCGAAAACTAATGCAGGGCAGGCAATGTCACTGGCTTTGAGGTAATAACAAAATTGGCACGTCACACAACAAAGTTGTCAACCATGTGTTGGATCACATCAGCCCCATCAGAATGTAGATAATAGGTTTTCACCTGACCCACCCAAAAAAAACATTTAACTATGTCACACGGCTGCTTCTTAATCTAGCTTGCAGATGGACCAGCATGCATTGTGAAACCGATAAGAAAAAAAGCGTTTTGCAATGACATTAAAAGAAATGTGTTAAACAGTTAATCATGATGAGTTTCAAGGAAAAGCAGGGCTTGCCTGAATGGTACTGTGCGCAAGGTATCTTTGCTTACTTCCTTTGAAGCTCACATCAACCCGTTCCCAGCTCATTTTGGTCAAGCTTCTGATCATTTCCTCTACAATCGTGTTGAGAAATAAGTGAATAAAATGCCAATAGGCTAAGAATTACTACATTGAGACGAGCTCAGACTACGGCAATCACGGGGTTGACATCATAAAACTGAGTATCAGATGAAAGCAAAACTATCCATATCGGATGTATCCCACTACAGAACTTAGTCTCCCACTAACTCTAATTACAATATTGTCATCATAATCACCCTATTACTACTAATTAGCTAGTTTTTTATTCACACAAAATTTTCTCAGATTTTAGTTGCATCATTTATAGAACTTTAGTTTTCATGGTACTACGCAAATCTTAGAAATAAGACAACAGCTAGAGGCCATCAGAGAATTCCTGCAGCTACCATCTTATAGACTTAGCGCCCCCCTGATAAAGAAGAAACTTCATATTAAATTTCATTTTCGGTGCCTGACTAAAAGGCATTGGCAGTCTTGTTCAACTAAAAGGACTTATGTTCTAAGACTGGCTCTATGATTTAGGAACAGCTGATGCACTGCATTAAGTTTTTCTGTTGAACACATTTCATACCCAGAAAGCCTCCCCTCCTGTAATCTATGCACCTCCAGTTCTGTAACCATACATTCTGGAGTAATGAATTCCTAAAAGTGTCCAGCAGCCTAGTTGCATAACCCTTGTGATTTAAAGGGATAATATGTAAATGAAAGCAGAATTCGCTACGGTTTTCTTCCAATCTACCCATATATCCCATCATGGGAACACGAAACCTTATCAATAAAATGTCTCCATGCTAAAGCTGCAAAAGCTTCAGAAAGCAATGAGCCACTGATAATAAGTCATTAGTAAAACAAGATAAACAACTAGCAAACCTTCCAAGTCAATATGCTTGCATCCACTGGCTTTTGCTTCGAAAGATACTTCTTCTTGAGTACTGGCAGTTTTTATTGTCTCCACATTCACAATATGTGGATATTTGTCATCTTTGGATAAATGTTTAAGCTGATAGATAAGTTCATGGTAAGATTAATTCCAGACAATTAAAGCATCCATGAGTAGCTACAGAATTACCTTTGGCAGCTCCTTCCTACGCCGTAGAGATGATGTACTCCATCCGACAAGGTCTATAAGAGTTGTCAAGTGCTTCACATAAATTATGGAAATAGTAATAAAAGAAGTTTGTGGCAGTGTCAACTTGAAAGATTGACCCGCTCAAACTTTAATCTACTCTGAAGACCAGATGTGAACGCCAAATTAACTGGTCCCAACATATTTGCTTGAACAATGAGGATAATATTTAAATAATAAAAAATACATACACATAAATTTAAAGGATACGGTCATAGAGAACATTTGCATAGGCAACACGACGCCTGAAGGACTGCAATGCAGATCTGCAGAGACGAGATATGATGGCAAATCCTTGAATCATCAACTACAGTAGCCAACAATATGTTACAAAAACAAATGTAACTAACAACTAGGACTCACAAGAAATTAAGATCTTCAGTATCATTGACCATCTGAATAAGAAGGGGAGGTTTTCCTTTATCCCTATCAGTTAAAAACAGATGTTTTCCACTTCTACCTAGACACCATGAGCTACGAGCTGCTACTTTTTCCAGGGGTTGAAAGCCACAAAACACTGGAACCTGAAAAATGAAAACCAGCAGATAATCAAGAACTCAGAAGAATATGAAACCTCATTTGTAGGCAGAGGAGGCAGACATTCACTTGTCACTAATTTTCCAAATCATGACTTGCAACTTTTGTAGACACCCCTAACCAACAATGATAAGGTTCCAAGAGTCTCTCCTCATAAAAGAAATCTTGAAAGCTTCAAAACTACATGTGTTGTTTAAATTAAGGCAACTCAATTAATTCTGCCATCAGGACAGCCTTGGAAACGCAGAAACCGTCACCAATTGGGGAAGAAAACCCAATTGCAGTTCTTCCTCTTACAAAAACTTGGCAGTTATGTGAACAAATTACCTAATTCTTCATTCAACTAAAACAAATTCTCATGCTTTCACTATCAAACGGCACCAAAGAGTAAAAAACTGATGTGAAAATGAAACAAATGATAAATTACAACAGAGAATAAGTACTGCAATGGTAAGTTCATAACAACTCAAGTCACCTGTTTATGCCCCCTGGTACCAAGGTGCGGAGTTGCAGAGCTTATAAAATTCACAGGCTCCAGTCCAGCAATTTTGCCTTTGACTTTGTGCTCCAGCAATGGATCCTCAACTCCATCACTCCTACATTCTCCATTTTCCTGAGATTGTTCCCTCGTGAGGTCTCTTTCGTAGAGCCTGCCAATGGCGTACCTTGCTATAAGGCCGCCTAATGAATGACCAACAAACGAGATCTTCTGAACACTTGGGTGGCGTTTTATGACGGAAATAACCTGAAGAAAAAAAATTAATAATTATAGCAATGAAACTGAACCAATCCAACAAACAGAAAATCATAAACCCATGAATTCCAATTCTAAGGAAGATGACATTGAGAAACAAGTTGGTTGGATGATGAATGAATTTAGTCCAAAGATAACGCACCTCTTCTGCTAATCTCTCCCCCATTACATCAACCCCATCAAATGTCAGCATTGAGCAATTGCATTCACTGCCTGCAATGCAAACTCATTTCATTATAAGGAAATGCAAAAAAAAGCAAAAAAAATTGTCTAAGCAAGCAAGTCATGGAGAAAAGGACTCACAGTGAACAATAACATCTTCTGGGTATCTCTTGAGAAACTGTTTTGCTGCATATTTCCAATTCTGAGCACTGTACCAAATGTAACACAAATAAATTAATATATAAATGAAAAAGACGGAAGCTTGAGCTTCAACCCACATTCAATTTAAGCAAACAGAGAATATCAACCTGCCTATAAGACCATTCACCATTATAATAAGATGGGTAGGAGTCATTTTCCCACGCCCTTCATCCTCAACCTCCATATCAAAATTCCCCTTCCCGTCCGTTTCAGATTTCAAGCTGAAACACCGAAACTTTGGCAGGTAATGAAACGTTTCTTTTGTGCTCGTCCTTTTGCTCTTGTTCTTTTTCTTCCTCACCATGTTTTTCTTGCTTCTCTGCTTGATCTCATTGGAAGATACAATTCCAGAACCGTCGATCTCCATCTCCATGGAAGCCAAATGCTCTGCAAATCTTGGTCAAATGGAGAGGTTTTGCTTGTTGGTAGCGGTTTTGGACTTTTAGCAGTTACATATACAGTGTCTCCACAAATCACAGCATATAATGTGGCTTTCGATCTTTCGTTTTCGTTTCCGGGTTTGGTTTGGCCAGCACCGAGCTTGCCATCTCTGACTGGTTTGCTATAAATTACCCCTGTTTTTTCACTTAATTACGAGGATTTTACACTGGTTTCTGCTGGTTAAGTTATGGAAAGCAAGGGGGTATATTTGGAACGTTCGCTACCTCCGTTGGGAAACAAACGACTTTGACCGCTTGACACGGAATTCTCCTGCATGTTGTATGATTTTTTATTATTTGTTTTTTTCCCAATAAGTCCGTGTTATTATTATATGATTCGTTAGGCAGCTTTTGGTTTAATTACGCAATAAATACAAGATAAGATATTTTGTTAAGGTTCTATGTTTTTCAAAATCTGGGAATCTGGGTTGCCATTGGACATGAATCATTCAATTTGTGTGTCTACATCATGTCGTCAAACAGCTTATATTAGATCTACTATGTTTTGGAATACCTCATGGTTTAATTTACATAATCTCTTAATTTAGTTTTTTCTTTTCTTTTCTTTTTGGCAAGTAGGGAAAAATAATTTTTGTCATCCGAAGGAGTGAGTTAGAATTAAGTTAGGTTAAAAGTTTCATTCCCTTCCATTTATATGCTAGTTAGCATTATTAAGAATTCTTTAAAAAAATAATTACATTTTATTTACGGGTAGTAACTCAGTCGTTAGGTTCTTTTTCAAGGATCATTCACGTCAAAAATCAACTAAATTAAAAATTGTTTACCTATTCGATTATTCGATTATTCGCTTTTTTCATTTTCTTTATGTAACAAATTGTGTTTCTTTGCACCTTTTAGATGACCAAATAATTTCCAATATGTATGATTTGTTTGCATGTATGACTCTTGAAGCGAGACCTAAAATGTAGTTTCGATCATTAAATGGAATTGGGCAATAGTCCTAAGAAAGAACATTGAAGAGTATAATCAGAACGAGAGTAATTGTAGCGTACTAAAAGATTTTGTTGATCAACCGGCATAAATTCACATGCTCGCATAATCCTCACAAACTAGAGTGTCAGATATCATATCAGTTAATCTCATTTCACATCTCTAGCCATTTGAGCGCCCAACTCATAATTGGCGAATTCGTAGGTTCAATTCCTACTGGATGCATGCCAATAGGACCCTCCAATAAGTCTATTGGAATTAGCTCTGTATCAATGGAATCTCATCATCCATACATAACGAATTGGTGCTTTTGTGTACTCTAAAGTTTAAACCATATTTTTTAAAGGTGTAAATTGATATTAAACATTTAGGTAAAGCACAAAATAAATAAATAAATAAATCTCACAAAACAATTCTAGCCCTCATGTCTTAGGGCCACCAATCCCACAGGTTTATGGGCTTTCATATTTTACAGTCATAAGTTCACAGGCTTTCATACGCACTCATTGATCTCATGAAAGAAAGTGATGAAAGAGCCCAAAAGGTGAAAGCCCAAAGAAAATGGCGTGGCTCGTGTAAATAGTATAACGGCTCGATTTTTTTCTAATTTTTTTTAAAAATAGTATAGCTGATTATATAAGCGGCTATAGTCTTATATATATATATATATATATATATATATGTACGTACGTGTTTTTCAATAATACATTTGTGTTCTATACACGTCTCACGTTTTTTAAAAAGCAAACGTACAATAGTTGTATTGTATATGTACATACATATTTCTAATGTTTTGTACACATATTTTTTACAAAAATTTCAGTAATACACAAAATTCACGTATTACACAAATAATTGTTACATATTATTGAATAAGAATAATATATGAAATAAATATTATGTTAAAATATTGTATAGGGGCCGATTAATATCTACTTTAGATATGTTGAAACTAGCAAATTAATATTTATAAAGTACAAAGTAATGCAAATAGGAGGGTCCTTTTTTTATTTTTATTTATAAATTACATAGTATAGCCGTACGGATATACTACAAATTTTTTTTAAAAAAACTGTAGCCGGGCGGCTATACTTTTTTTGACACATGACACTTACATCGCTAGCAGTTCCTCTTTTGAATTTTTTTTTTAAAAGGTACAGCCGAATGCCTACACGCCGTGTTTTTATTTTTATTTTTAAAGTAGACTTGTTTTGACACGTGTCGTCTAATCGCTGGGGGGGTCTTCTTTTTATATAAAAAATAGTATATCCGCACGGCTATACTCAAATTTTTCTATTTTTTTTAAATATAGTATAGTCGAACGGTATATTATTTTAAACTTGGCGACTAGGCGCTTTGAGGTTACTCTGTTTTTTTCAGTAAATAGTATAGCCGTGCGGCTATACTTTATTTTTTCTTATTTTTTTTTAAATCGCATAGCCGGCCGGATTTACTGGGTTTTTAAAATTAATTATCTTTAATAAATAGTTTAGACGAGCAGCTATAGTCTTTATATATATATGTATGTATTTTTCAATAATACTTTCGTATTCTATACACGTCTCATGTTTTTAAAAAGCAATCGTACAATAGTCGTATTATACATGTACGTATGTATTTCTAATATTTTATACACATATTTTATACAAAATTTTCAGTAAAACACACAAAATTCATGTATTATACAAATAATTCTCACATATTATTGAATAAGAATAATATATGATATAAAAGTTATATTAAAATATAGTGGCCAATTAATATCTACTTTGGATATGTTGAAACTAGTAACAAATATCCATAAAGTATAAACTAATGCAACTAGGAGGGTCATTTTTTCTTAATTTTTTTATTATTAAATAGTATAGCCGTTCGGCTGAACTACGATTTAAAAAAAAAACAATATAGCCGTCATGCTATTCGTATTTTAAAACGTGAAGTCTTTTTTTTTGAAAAAAAAAATACTACAGCACACGCCCATATGCCTTGTTTCTAATTTTTTTTTAAAAATATACTTGTTTTGACAGGCGCCTAATCATTGGTAGTCCTCTGTTTTTTAGATTAAAAATAGTATAGCTGCGCGCGCGGCTATAATTATTTTTTAATTTTTTCAAAACGTAAAGCCGCATGGCGATACTACTTTGCGGGTGCTCTGTTTTTTAAGTATAGCCGTTCGGCTAGACGATTTTTTTATAAAAGTGGTATAGCCGCTTGGCTATATAGTTTTTACACGTGGCGCCCCAATGCTAGAGGGGCTTGTTTTTAAAAATAGTACAGCCGCGCGGCTATACTCTTAAGAGAGGTGAAAAACTAATCGACCCATGTTTAAAGAGATGAAGAATCGGTGGTGGAGAGCAGAGCGACACTTGTATACGTTGTTGCAGTCAAATATTGTACATAGTTCTCAAAACACCGTGAAGATTTTTTTGGTTAGAAAACAACCCCATGAGGATTTAATGGACTCCGTTGCTCTACATCTTTCGGTGCCGAGAGAAGACAGAGTCAAAGACAGACAATGGGTTTGGGTTTTAGGCTGAACCTCAAGTGTGGCTTTCCTGTTCATTCTTCTCACTGGCAAACCACTTCCCCTTCGAAGCTTTCTTCAACTTCGGGTGAGTTTCATTGGCTTTCTCTGCAGCTGATTTCATATGCCTGCTCCACCAGAGAGACTGTTTGTTTCTCTGCTTTTGCAACTTTCATCTTTGTTTTGAGATTTTCTTGAATTTCCCAGCATTGCATCTGTTTTTGGCAATCTGAAACACCTCATTGTATCTTTTTAAGTAAACCCACAAAGCATCATATTGTGTTACTTCTTAGTTCATAGTAGAGAAAGTGAATTTCCAAGATGATCAAAAGGCATTTTTAAGAATTGGGTCTTGAAGTTTTCAATGGGCTATTGAAACTGACTTGGAAAATTTGGAAATTTGGCTATTGTCTAAGCTCCCATCTACCATAAGTGATGCACATTGGTATTGGCTTGAACTTGGCTCTCAACTTTTATTATACTTATAATTTTCTATGTAAATTGATACAGTTAGAGGCAGGGAGGGCTCTTTCAACTCAGCAAGGTTGTCCTTTCTGTCTGTTATTTCTGAGGAAGGTGAGGCTTCTAGTAAAGATCCTCTGAAAGTGTACACTTCTCCATCTGCTTCCCCACAAATCTTAGAGGACGGTGTCTCAGAAATGGAAGAGGTGAAGGTTTGCCCTTTAATTGAGTTGTTGCTTAAAAGTTGCACAATCTCAATCACACTGAATTTTCCTTCTTTTTAGTAGATGAAAATCTTACCATGACTTTTGCCTTTCAGACAGCCTTTAGGAGGGTGCCAAAGAGTATTAGTGACAACCAGATGCCTGTTGCAGAAGGCAAGTTTATATCCAGTAAAGGCTTAGACGCATGCACGGCATCTCATTTTAGTTTGTTACTGCAAAATCTTAATGTTTTGGAGGAGACTTTTGCTACTTCAGATGTGTTAAAGTTGGAGAAAGAGATTCTATTGCAACTAGCAAGGCTTGGAGCTCTAAAGTTATTCGATATCTGTCTATCAAGAACTCTTAAAACCTCAAGCTTTTTGGATTTGTCTGACATACCTACAGTACCGGTTGAAGAGGGTAAGATGGAGAGAAAAGAAGATAACAACGTATTCGAGATTATTGTTCGTTCTGGGAAAAAGGAAGAAAGAAGATCAAGAAAAAGAACATCAGATAATGCCATAGTGTCTTCTAATTCATTGCCTCCAAAAACAATTTGGAAAGGTCTTAAAAGGCCTACTCTTTCATCAGGAAAAAGAGCATCAAATTATAGAAGTAGAAGACTGACCATTTCTAAAAATGAGGCAGAAATGTCAATTGGGGTTAAGGTTGTGCTTATCTTCAAGGGTACAGATTAAAATAAAATTTTGCTTGCTTCAAGGATGTTTTTACCAGCTATGCTTTTGTATCATTACAGGTGATCGCCGACTTGGAGAGAATTAAAGAAACTTTGGAAAAGGAAACTGGTAAAGTAGTGACCTTAAGGTGCTGGGCAGAAGCATCTGGAGTTCATGAAAGGGTGCTGCTACAGCATTTGCGTTTTGGTTGGTATTGCCAGGATGAGCTTATAAGGAGCACTCGTTCCTTAGTTCTATACCTTGCTAGAAACTATAGAGGGCTAGGGGTAGCCTTGGATGATTTAATTCAGGTTTGTGAAACCTATATTCATTTTGTGGTTGTTCACAGTGCTTTTACAATATAACACATTAATTTTTATTTTTTTATAGTTTATAAAAGATGTTTCTTAGTAATTTTTTCCATGAAATAATTCACCTGTGATTATATTTGATGCGGTTCGTTGTTGATCATTGAAACAACTTTGATCAGATGTCAAAACTTACTCTTACTACATGTATTTATGTGATATTTACTCTCAATTTACTAGTCTATCTCCCCCTCTATTTCACAGGCTGGAAACCTGGGTCTCCTGCAAGGTGCAGAAAGGTTTGATCACTCAAGGGGTTATAGATTCTCAACCTATGTTCAATACTGGATAAGGAAATCAATGTCAAGATTGGTGGCACAGCATGCTAGGGGGGTCCAAATTCCGGTATGTTGTTCCTCTCTTCTTTGAAAGATCATACAATATTGTGTTGATGAGTGCTGGTGGTTGATCATTGAGTTGTTTTATTGTAGTTCACACTAAGCAAGGCAATAAATCAGATACAGAAAGCTCGAAAAGCCAATTACAACAGCCACATGAAATACCCAGATGATGAGGAAATTGCAAAGATTACAGGTCTTTCTTTGGCGAGAATCAGATCAGCTAGTACATGTCTGAGAGTTGTGGGTTCGGTAGATCATAAAATGTGGGAAAGCTCTGATGGGACATATATGGTATTGATCTAGCTAATCTTTCTCTGTCTCCCTTGCATGTAAATTTGATACATATTTTTCCTTTGCTAGGACTTAGTTATGGGAATGGGAATTTACTGAGCAAAAGTGGAGATCAATGTAGTTTGTATCACTTTGTGGTCAAAGTTCTTATAGTTTAGGAAGCTAAGGATAGAACACACAAAATCCTGCAGGCCTGAAAGAAATTGGAAATTTGGGATATCGCGGTCCTTAATCATGTTGAAAGTAGTGGTGAGATTGTTAACTAGAAAACCTGTTTTGTGTTCATGATCCAGGAATTTACACCAGACACATCACTAAAGAGCCCTGAAGAAACTGTCGTGAGGCAACACATGAAAAAGGACATTCATGATCTGCTGAAAGGGTTGAATTTGAGAGAGAGGCAAGTGTTGGTACTGCGATACGGGCTAAACAACTACGACCCCAAGTCACTTGAGGAGATTGGCAGGCTTTTCCATGTGAGCAAGGAGTGGATAAGGAAGATAGAAAAGAAAGCTCTGATGAAGCTGAGGGTTGAAGAATCCCACAGATACCTAAGCCATTACTTGAATAACTAGTAGGTTCAGAGTAACATGGAAAGAAAGCAAGCCATCCTTAGGTTCTCTATCAGAAGCAGTAGTCCGGGCAAATTAGTCAATCATATGCTGACAACTATAGCTACTTGCTGGTAGAGATTGAAGGATACAGAGAATCATGGGTTACCTTCTGTTATTTCCCCATCAAAATTGCAGCTCACAACTCGACCATGGGAATTTTTGTTGCTCTCATGCGAAGATTACAATGTTGTATGTTAGCATTCTTTCATTTCCCTCGGCGTGCTGGGGAAGAATTGCATGTGCCGATTGTTCTTTCAAGCCTCTTTTTTCCTTTCTTTTTCAGTTAACAGTGTATAGTATAGAGGTGTGTATTGTATTCTCGTCACCACGGGTACATATTAATGATCTGAACTAGTGTTTACACACAAGTGTTTGTTCTAATGATGCGGTTAAACTCCATTTAATCAAGCTCTCCCCCCAGATCTCTGTTTTCACTGTCAACTCTTATCTGTTATCACATTATATACACACTATTGAAAACCTATAAAATATGTGGCTCTGCTGCTCACCCTCCACGCTATGATGCTTACGTAGCCGTTTGAAGGCTTTGATGCCAAAGTAGCCTCATTTTTGCGATAAGGATATATTGGTTCATTGATGTCACTAAAATCATGAAAACGATGCATAAAACATGCAGCCAACCAGGTTTTCAGAAACCGTTTGCAGAACCCATCCTTACGTCACCTCTCATTGTAGACCTAATCATTTTCTCTTTGTTCAGATCAGATGAGCTCCTTTTGGGTACTTTTTTTTTTTTTCTTTCTGCAAATTTGGGGTTTTCATCTTTTGTATTGCAGCTAAAAAATTAGCTTATTTTGTTACAAATTAATGCGTTAATCTATACATTTTTTTGTTTGCTCATACAAATTAACGCATTTAACGGTATATATAATTTGCTCAGTGCACACTTTTGCAACAAATTAATGCATTTGTCCTCATTTTTGTTTTCTCGTATAAATTAATGCATCTATCTTTATATATAAAGTAATAGACTGATGAAACATTCAAAATACCAGAAAATACCATTGGTTAATTCAAACATTAAGAATTGAAATTATTAATTAAATGAGAATAATATAGTAAATTCACATTTTTTCATATTAAAACAAAATTAGATAATATATCCTATTTTTATGGAACACAACTACCCATTATTTTTTTAATTCTAAAATAATTTTAAATTTTTTTGAAAAAACCTATCACAAGCGCGGAAGCGCGTGCGGAGAGTCTAGTTTAACTGTATATATAAACTTACAAGTTACAACTGTATATCCTAAACATTACTTGTCCTAAAACATCAACTGACAAAACCATCAAACTTACCACTTTAGTTATCAATCAAAACATTGGTCATTTAGCTCATTTATTTTCTGTCCTGGTTTTCGTATTTTCTTCTTAGTTGGAAAATTCAGTGCAGTGCATCCGTTTACGGATTTATATAAAAAAATGTATTAATAACATATCGGTAAGTTGTTTGTTTATATATACAGTTAAACGTTCAGTGCAGTCCCTCTCTCTCGATATCGTTTATAAATACTATAAGGAATTCAAAGTCAAGTGTAAACGAGCGAAGTCACTATCGTAATCGACTGGATTAATCAATTATTGTTCGTAAAGCTTCCTTACCCAAAAACAAAAACCACAAACAAAAGATATAGTTATAAAGTCCCAACTCCCAACCAACCATGCACAACTTCACAGCCAAACAGCGCTAAGGTGCGTGTGTGTGAGTAAGCTTGCATTGGGTTGCTTTCCTCCCAATTATGGCGACGTGTCCTCCCTTTAAATTTTCAGGAAACACCTAACCCATTCCGTTAAGAAAACGACCTCGTCACCCTGCTGTTCCACGTAAAGCAGTCACAGACCAAGACATTCCCCAATTCCCGTTGAAAAAGAAGCGAAACTTCAGCGCAGCAGCCGATGTTGCTGCCTTGCTGGCAGAACACCTCTCCATCGGTCACGCAACTTAGCTCCCCCGCGGGTAAGTAGCCGTTGATTTTTTTGCTGCCAAATCTTTTGCCTCCACCACGCGCCGAGCACCAATGCTCGTTAGGTGTCCCTGATTACTTTTCTTTTACGGCGTCGTTTCACCCTGCTTTTCATTATCTCTCTCTCCGTTGTTTAGGAGAGTGTGTGAAACGTTCTCTATGAAAGCGTGAGATCCATCTGAATATATGATCAGGCACGCTGAACCATACGAAACACCAAACCCGCATAGCCAATCCCAGTTCTATTCACAAGACATCCGAAAACACACGTAATCTACAACCAATGGTTGTCTTCCACAACCCAAGCTCATGTAAAACGGACAGCACCTGATCATTTTCTCTAACCTCCTCAAACTTCCCCAAAAATCAATGAACTCCCTGTTCCCCACCCTGTCCCCTCTTTCTCTCTCTTTGTTGCAGAGCGATTTCTAGGGTTGTCAGTGGAGTTTCCTTCACCAAAACGCACAAATTCACACGGTGGTCTCTGCGTTTCATTGCATTCAAAATCGCAATCCAATTCGCCCCAAATTCCCAATTCGGAGCTTTCAAATCCAACCCAATGAGTAATGACTCTCGCCACCAGTGAATGGCTCGCTTTCACCCTCCCACTCTCCATTTCGCCTTCTTCTACATCCTCATAGCCCTAACCACAAACCCTCGCCTCCTCCTCGCCTCTGATGACGACGAGTTTTCGATAATCGATTCCGATGCCAATCTCTTCCACCAGGACTACTCGCCGCCGGCTCCGCCTCCACCTCCGCCGCACCCGCCCTCAGTCTCGTGCACCGATGACCTCGGCGGCGTCGGCACTCTGGACGCCACGTGTAAGATAGTCGCCGACACGAACCTCACCAGCGACGTGTACATAGAAGGGAAGGGCAATTTTTATATCCTACCCGGGGTGAGATTCTATTGCTCGAGTCCTGGTTGCGTTGTAATTGTTAACATTACTGGTAACTTTAGTTTAGGCAACTCCTCGTCGATTTTAGCTGGGGCTTTCGAGCTCACGGCGCAAAATGCCAGCTTTCTCGATGGCTCGGCGGTGAACACGACGGCTTTGGCGGGGAAGCCACCGGCGCAGACCAGTGGGACCCCTCAGGGGATTGAGGGGGCGGGTGGGGGCCACGGAGGACGGGGCGCGTGTTGTTTGGTGGATGAGACGAAGCTTCCGGAGGACGTGTGGGGCGGCGACGCCTACTCGTGGTCGACGCTGCAGGGTCCGGGTAGTTTTGGGAGCCGAGGGGGGTCGACGAGTAGGGAGGTGGATTATGGAGGTTTAGGGGGTGGGAGGGTGTGGCTGGAAATCAAGAAATTTCTTGTGGTGAATGGAAGTGTTTTGGCTGAAGGAGGTGATGGAGGAACAAAAGGTGGAGGTGGTTCTGGTGGCAGCATCTACATTAAGGCTCGTAAAATGTAATATTCATCATTAATTCTCCTTTTTTTTTTCTTTTTTTTTTTCCTTAGAATATTTTTGAAAAGCTCTTTATATTGATTTTTGTGTTGAATGAGCTTTAGGTTTTGATTATATGTTGATGAGAAATGTCGGAAAAAAGTAGATATATGATTACTGTAGTTAAGATGGTGAGTTTGGCTTTATTTGTTTAGTGAGAATGTTACAGAAATGAAAAGGAAATTTAAAATTTTCCATTTCTCTATGTAGGAAGTAGCAATACGATAGACTTCTCTACCTAACATTAATTATGCCTTCGTTTGGTTTAGTTTTTAGCTTGTTGAGGCAAAGCAAAAAGAGTGGAATGTAAAATGACAAAAATAAAATTTCATTGGTTGCCATGAATCTTACAATGTTACACTTTGTTCACTGTGTAGATTTTTCTTAAAAGAAAAATGAAAAATGTGAAGGGCAAAAGTTGGCAATAATGCCAGTTACAAAGTACTAGTGAGGCTATGCGCTCTATTTCAGTTACACATTGGTTGTACATTTGATTCTCGACATGTGTTCTGATAATCTACTTCCTTTTCTCTTGGAGTGGACTTTTGGTGGATGGAAAAAGATGTTTGAGAATGATGTTTAATTTTAACTTTATTCAATCCTTGAATGTTTGTTTTTTGATTCTTGCTTTCCATTCTGATGACAAAATGCTAGAAAGGTAACAACTGGATACATGGTATCTTTGTAGGCGTGCATCAAAACATGGTTATTTTGCTTATATATATATATATATTATCAGGTGTTATTCTTATCTGCGTAGGTGTTTGTAAATGTGTCACTATGTTTTATCTAATTGTTCTGATGCCCCAAGTCTATGTGACTGTTGGTATGACTCTGCTTTCCATCTGCATCAAGTTGCATCACTACATATATTGTTATACCTTATACATGCATATTATGCAAGGGGGCCTTTATGATTTCTAATAGAACTATGTTGTTTTGAAGTGCAGGACTGGTAATGGCAGGATAAGTGCTTGTGGCGGCAATGGTTATGCTGGTGGTGGCGGTGGAAGAGTGTCAGTTGATGTCTTTAGCAGGCACGACGACCCAAAAATTTTTGTGCATGGTGAGACACCATTTTGTTCGCCAGGCATGGCTAGCGCTGTTGTCATTTCTTGTAAATGTTTTGGAACAGCCTTATTTGCAACTTAATGATTGACAATTTTCTTGCCTTGCTTTTTGGCATTGTATGTGATTTTCTCAGTAGTTTCTCATGTTTTGTAATAAGCTGTTCTGATTTCAATATATGTTGGTGGATCTTGTAAAACATCTCTTTATCTACGTACTGAGTAGCATTTTTTGATTGATGGTCTTGTCCTAGTTTTCCAAATGGGTTCACTGAGTTGGACCTCCACCCTCTCAACATTTGTTATGATTAAGTAGAATTCCTTAGATATCTATCTGTTTCCATTTTATAAATCTTATTCGAGCTGTTTAATATAACTTTAGCAGTTCTATTGTTCACTTCTTATGTTTTTAATACTGAACTACAATTTAAGTGTTCATATTTTTCCATTGATCTT